AACACCACAAACATGTTGTATGACCAGGAACTTCTAATTAGCTCTTACAGACCCTGCGAATAATGAATTTTTATTAGAATTCAACAAAATGAATAATTCAGACAAAATTTTTTTTGAATCTAACATACGTGAGGTTTTTTATAAGTATTTCTACTCGGTAGGTGACAGAGGAGTTGCAAAATTATCAATTAATAATTTTGTTATGTTACTCCAGTTGTCATGAGATTTTTGATCTGATCGTATTGTTGTTATTAATCCTATTAATGTATTGTTTTTGTGTTCTATTAATCGTATTAATGTATTGTTTTTTTGTTTTAATACATTTTGAAAAAGTATTTGCTAGGAATAACTTTTTTTAAAGTGAAAAATCATTTTGAAAATACATACACACACTCACACACACACTTACACACGACACACACACATACACACACGACACACACTTACTTACACACACACAAACACATGCAAACACACACACATGCAAATGAAAGAATAATTGGAAAACATGAAAATAAACATTCACATTATCTGCCTTCATAGATAGATACTAACAAAAAAGAAAATTATCTAATGGTAAAAAGTAGTTTATTCATATAAACATAAATGACTGTGTATATAAATGCATACATACATATCCAAACATTACACATACACACATACATACATATACCTATAGACACACATACACACGCAAACATACACACATACAAACTCGTACATACCAACTTGTCACCGTAGAGGGAAGGGATTGCATTGTAGCATAAACATTTTGATTTGCCATCAACTTGGAATGACATTAAGTGAACGTGGCGTTATGTTATATATACACATACACAATTACACATACGCACAAACACACACATACACACACACATACATACACACATCACACATACTTAAGAACACACAATTGAAACTATTAGCCTATGAAATAATTCATTCTCCCTCCTAAAAAAACCTTCTTACGACGTTATTCTATTTTCTGTGAGTCACAAAGGAATGCGTGAAATTTTTTTTGTTCATTTTTTCATCCTGTATAATTTTCAAAATAATAATACCCCGTATAATGGAATAACTCATAAACAAAGTTTCCAAAAAATATAAATAAGGCTTAAAAATATGACGTCAGAATTGAGTGCCAGTACAAACTGCTTCGGGCCCTTGGTTCCATCGCAGGATTTTTTTTTAATCAAAATTTTTTTCAATCATTTATTTCAATTAAATAATTTTAATTATATTTTTGTTTCTTTAATAATTGTATTTTAATTAATTTTTTTTTATTGTTTTATTTGTTTATATTCGCAAGTTGAATAAGTTTAAGAGTTTCATCTGTTATATAATGTAGGATGTAGAATATAAAAAGATTATTTTTTGCGAGATTTTTCAGAAGTTTATAAGCCTTTACTTACATATTTATCAGTTAAATGAATTAGTTTATTTTTTTCGTTCATTCATTCTTTCATTCATTCATTCGTTCATTTATTCATTCATCATTCATTCATTTGTTTTGTTTGTTTGTTCTGTTTGTTTATTCATTTATTTTTACTTTTTTTGTCGGTACGTTTTTGCTTGTTGTTCATCCATTCATTCGTTTGTTCGTTCGTTCATTCATTAATAATATAAACTAACAAACAAATCAATTAAATATTTATGAATTAAACAAACAAATAAACAAACAAATACATCACTTACAAGATAAACCCAAAACTAAACAACAATAAACGCAACGGAAACGCAAGGCACCATAGCATGTTAACATTAAACAAACAAACAAACAACAAAACTAAACAAACAAACACAGAATAAACAACAAAATGTATTATGTTTACTACATGAAGATTGATTTCATAGCTGGATTTGATATTTATTTAGTGATTTAGAACTGGGAAAAATGTATGTGTTATGATGACCGTATTTTCATACCATATGTATGCTTTCTTGTAGATGTGTGTTCTAAAATATCTAAGATATCGTCAACGATCCGGCCGTTCTTAGCTGTCACCCATACGCTGATGATATTAAACTTAACTGATTTGGGCTACTTGACACATCACTTTAAGATTCCTCTGCTGTGCCGAATACAGAAGACTTATTTAGTTGCTGGATGTCATCAAACGAGCTTAAACTCAACGTTAAGAAAATACAATATTTTTGGATGGGAACATCGCATGGGCTCAGCCGTTTAAATGACTACAAAAATCCAGTAACGAATCTCGGAGTCATACTGGATCCTCATTTTTCATTTGAAAAACATATCAGTCAACTTTGCCAACGATGTTTTTACAGATTCCACAGAACAAGATCCATCAGATGTTTTTTGACGGTTGAGTTTCGTTTGTAGTCTTATCTGAGGAAGGATTGATTACTACAATGCGATTATGCTTGGTGTCGAATTATCCCTTCGCGATGATTTGCAGTCTGTTCAGTTCACCGCAGTGAGACTTGTTGCTGGTTATTCGAAATTCGATTCCCTATCATCATACATCAGGGAGAATCTGCACTACCTTCGCATGCCAGAAAGAATCGTTTTCAAATTAGCTCTTCAAAGGTGACGCTCCAACTTGTTTGAAAAAACATCTACAATTGGTTTCAGAAATTGCAAATCAGAGTCGACTAAGATACTACGACAATGGTGATCTTGTGCTTCTTTAAATCAATTCGTCTCGTTTTGGTAAGGAAAGATTTCCTGTTTCACCTGCAAAAATCTGGAACTCACTAGCTGCAGGTAGATTGGAAAAAATTCAACAACACAAGCCGACATGTTTTCAAGAAGCGTTTGAAAATAAATCAAAATTCAAATCCACACACACACCATACACGCACGAACACTCATACTCTCCGCTCTACACGATGTTTTAAAACCTGTACACAACACCAACACCTCCAATTAATTATTTCTAAAATTCTAATTTCATCTAATACATTTAACTATCAGCACACAGGAAAAGCGCGCACACACACACACAACACACACGCACACACCCCACACACACGCACACATGCGAACACATACGAACATGAAACATGCTTACATGCATGCTTGCATCTAGACAGCTATACGCTCGCATAATTTTTTTTAAATATTTCAATTATTTTAAAATGAATTTTAAATCATTTTAAATCTAGTTCCTTGACATCGTTCGCTCATTGATTCATTCAGTCCTTCGTTCATCCATTTTGTCAATCATTCTTCGTTCGTTCATTCATTCGTTTATTCATTCATCTTTTTATCCTTTCATCCAACCATCCATCCATCCATTCTTCAATCCATTTATTTTTCATCGCAGTCTATCGTTCAATCAATCCACTCGACAAATATTTCAATTATTTCGGACAGGATTTTGTTTCAAATTTATGCTTGAATAAAATCTCACAATAAAACTTGGTGTGTTCGTTTATACGTTTTAGTTGGTTAGTTAATTCGGACAGGATTTTGTTTCAAATTTATGCTTGAATAAAATCTCACAATAAAACTTGGTGTGTTCGTTTATACGTTTTAGTTGGTTAGTTAATATATTTTGTTTGTTTATTCATATATTTAATCATTTAATATTCTCTAATATAATAATAATGATGTTGAAAAATTTTTTTTTATTAATATTTCTATCATTAAAGTAAATGAATGATTGATTGATTGAATGAATGAATGAATGAACGAACGAACGAACAAACGAATGAATGCGCCATTGAATGATTGAGTAAACAATTGAATGAAATGAATGAAGAGAATAAAAAAATGAATAATTACAGACTTCAAGTTAATTTGAATTGATATGAAGCCTACATTAAATCAATTTTTACATCTTAAAAATATTTAAACATTATAGTGGTTTACATTCAATTTATTGAGAAAAATAGCCCATTATGGTGTCTGAATTTTTGGTTTTTAAGTTAAAATTTGGCAACTATCACTCTCTAAATTAAAGATAATTGAATGGTTCGGCTAATGTGTCTAATAATTTAATTGATTAAAAGTAAATCGGAAATTGGAGAGAGAGAGAGAGAAAGAAGAGAGAGAGAGAGAAGAGAGAGTGATATAGAAAAAGAATAGAGAGAGAAAGAAAGAGAGTAAAGTAGTAAAATAGGAATGAAAAATAATTTTATATTGTATATATATTACTATATATGTATATTTATATTACTATATATATATAATAGATATATATATATTGCTATATATATATTTATATTACTATATATGTATATATATATATATATATAGTAATTTGTAAAACTAGCGTATGACATATACACAAAACTTTTGTTCCTATTGACAACGATGACGATGAGAATTGAATATTAGTGTGGGTGCTGGCAATGATAGAATGTTGAAGAAAGAGAGAGCGAGAAAGCGATGGAGAATGAGTGAGAGAGAGAGAGAGAGAGAGAGAGAGAGAGAGGAATTCTCGTGATGATAATGATTGCAATTTTTTTATAATACCGAGTGCTTATAAATAGTTCCTCGGTGGATGCGCGTTTGTCTGTGAGTTTATTTCTCGCTTGATACGTCGGTTGATCGATCGTCCCATCCCCTTGTTCATATTTTTGGTTTTATATCTTTATTTATTTTATCTGCGTTAATTTCTCTCTCAGAAACATTTTTTGAAGGTTGGATCGCTTAATTGATTCATTGATTTTAATTATTTTTTAAAATTAATTGATTAGTTAATTAATTAATTAAACATGAAATTGGAATGTAAGTTAGTTGATAAAATGTAAAATAAAATTTTCATTTTATTATTATCTACGATTTTAAATAATTTGGAACGCCTATCTTATCTCAGATTCATCGTTGTTTTATGACGAAGGAAAGGTTTTTGGCATTGAGAAGAATTGAGAAATTTAGAAAAAAATTTGAGTAGAAAATATTTTCACATCCACATATCAGAAACAATTTTTAACGTTAAGCCTCGAACCAAGTTGAGAGAGTTTATTATTAATAAGTAAAACATCATATTTCAACATCATCTTCAACAGCGGATCCAGCATCGAAAGAGATGTTCACTTTAACGAGGAAGAGTACACTGGCGAAGAAGGAGGAGCACGTGAACTTGTGTGTCAGTGAGGGACTGAAGAAGGTCTACAAAAGCAAACTGCTGCCACTCGAAGAATTTTACAACTTCCATGATTTCCATTCACCTCCTTTGGACGATGCTGATTTCGATGCCAAGCCGATGATTCTCCTCGTTGGTCAGTATTCCACTGGAAAGACAACTTTCATCCGCTATCTTCTGGAGCAGGACTTCCCAGGCATGAGGATTGGACCGGAACCAACTACCGATAGTTTCATCGTTGTTTCGTACGGAGAAGATAACAGCGTTATTCCGGGAAATGCCGTCGTCGTCGATAAGAAAAAACCGTTCAGAGCACTGGCCAAGTTTGGAAACGCTTTTTTAAACCGGTTTCAATGTTCCCAAGTGAACAACAGAGTTCTGGAAAGTCTTTCAATAATTGACACTCCTGGAATTTTGGCTGGAGAGAAACAAAAAGCTGATCGCGGCTACAATTTCGCCGCTGTGATTGAGTGGCTGGCGGAACGAGTCGACAGAATCATTCTGCTGTTCGATGCGCACAAACTCGATATATCGGACGAGTTCAGAACGGTTATTGAATCGATGAAAGGTTACGACGACAAAATCAGAATCGTCCTGAACAAAGCTGACATGGTAGACCACCAGGAACTCATGAGAGTCTACGGAGCGCTGATGTGGAGCTTGGGTAAGGTTCTAAACACTCCCGAGGTAGCCAGAGTGTATATCGGATCGTTCTGGGACCAACCTCTGCATTTCGATGCCAACAGAAAACTTTTCGAGTTGGAGGAACAGGATCTCTTCCAGGAAATTCAAAATCTTCCGAAAAATGCTGCGGTCAGAAAGTTGAACGACCTGATCAAGAGGGCTCGAATGGTTAAGGTTGGTCGTTTCGTTTCGTTTAAAATTTTATCAACAAGTCATCCAGTCATGCTATTTAATATTTATTTTATAAAATTAAAAAACTTTGCTAGTACCAAAATGTAACATGCAAAACAATCTGCAATAAAACTGCCGACTAATGTAATGACAAGCCTGGTAGCAATTTCTTCTCTGCTCTACGCATTATCATTGAAAATACTTCCCAACAACATCTTCTACTACATTGAGGTGAAAATTATCTCAATGATATTCCAACTATAAATGGTACTATCAGTTATGCTACTTTTAGTAATTGTACTAACCATTAAACAACATCTACGGTGAAAATACCAATCTCAGTTTGCAATACTCTAGGATTAATCTGTGACAGGTAAGAGGTGTATAGGTATATCACCAATGCGTCAGTGCGATCCACACTAAACACATGACGCCATTTAGTTGGCTGGTTGTCATTTAAGACACATAAACATACCTACACACACATATACAGACACACACATACACACACATACACATACATACATGCATACATACATACAAACTAGCCAACGATGATCGTTCGATTGTATTACATTTCAATGTGTTTGGTATTGCCTCATATCTGCGTGTTGTTTGTGTGTGTGTGTGTGTGTGTGTGTGTGTGCGAGTCAGAGATTTTGATTTTGGCGCCATAAGCACTAATCGGATGAGATATCAATAATGATGATGATATGACACATGATGGCATGAGGATAACAGTTTCTTATTTTTAAAAAATAATAATAATAATAGTACAAATAATAATATAATAATATTAATAATTTGTTATGTCATTTGATAGACAACCGAGTTGGGCATTTTATCTGGTATGAAATTTAAACGTAAATAATTTTTAATTATTACTTTATAGTCATTATAATTATTATTATTATTGTCTATTAGAATTATTAATATTATTATTATTATTATTATTATTATTAAATTAATTATTAATTAATTATTTATTAAAACATTTATTATTATTATTTTTTATTTTTTTTTACTTCGTAACATGATACCTAGTATAGTTGCGTGAATAACGCATAACGATCAAGTGCTCGTATTGAAACACACACACACACCACACACACACACACACACCACACACACATACACACACACACACACATACTCAACATACCAAAAGACACATACAAACACACACAAACACATATATACAAACTTGCACATACACTAACATACCAAAGACACATATAAATTCAAACAGAGACACATACATACAAACATACACACACACAACATACCAAAAACACATACAAACTTTCATACGCACATACATACAAGCAAACAAACATACACCCACATAACATATCAAAGACACATACAAACCCACACATACACACACTTACATACAAACATACACACACACAAACACAACATACCAAAGACACATACAAACTCATACGCACACAACACACATGCATATGTACATTGACATCCATCTATTCCTATTGGGTTGTTACTTTCAAACGCCTCATGACGTGTACATACCCACACACATACAAACAAACATACAAACAAGCAAACAAACAAACCAACAAACACACACACAAAAACATACAAACACATACATACAAACAACACAAGTAACGCATACAAAATTATTATTATTACTACTACTACTACGACTACTACTACTACTAAAATCAATAATAGTGACAATAAAAAATTTTTAAATGTGTATTATCACAACTATGCTATAACGAATATCATTTATAACGCCTAATTTTCAGTAATATACTGATGATAATAAGATAAGGCTGATAGAGTTTCAGTCATAATGAACTGCTTGATACAAGATAATGGTGATAAGAGTATTAAGTAAAACATAGAGTAACTTATTACTAAATGTTGACAAACAATCGGGATGGTGGTGAAGATGATAGTGATTTAAGTATTGATAATAATATAAATAATGTTAATGATGACGATGATGGTGATGACGATGATGATGACGATGATGATGATGACGATGATGATGATGATGACGATGATGATGATGATGATGGCGACGATGATGATGATGATGATGACATTGTTGTTACATCAAAACAGCGATTTCGAATGCATAATTGGATGTGTTTTTGTTTGGCCCGGCAAATAACTGCTATTAAATGTCATCATCATCATCGTCGTCGTCCTCATCATTATCATCATCATCGTCATCATTATCATCATAACGTTTAACGTCATTATCATCATCATTACTATCATTATCACCATCATCATTATATCTATCCTCTTATCATAACTATCATTATCATCATCATCACCATTGATATTACCATCATTTCTATCATCAGCAATATCATCATCGTCATCATCTTTGTCATCATCATCATCACAATCATCATCGTCGTCATCATCGTCATCATCATTTTCATTGTTCTAATTTTTTCTACTCAATATTTTTAAACAAGAAAATTATAGTTGATGGGCATTGGAGTACTCATTCGCTTTGCACTTTCATTCATTCATCCATTCATTCGTTCGTTCGTTCGTTCGTTCATTCATTCATTCATTTATTCATTCATTTATTCATTCATTTATTTATGATGAAATGATTAGCCCTGCAAATTACTATTGCAGTTGATGTTGCTGTCATTACTATCATCTGCAATAATGTTGTTTTAGTATTAATATTAATATTATTATTATTATTAGTAGTAGTAGTAGTAGTAGTAGTAGTAGCAGTTGTAGTAGTAGTAGTAGCAACAGTAATAGTAGCAGTAGAAGTAGTTTGGTTTCGTTTATATTTAAGCGCTCTTTAATTTGAAATTTTTATACTTAAATTTCATTCAATCAATCATATTTTTTTCATTTTTTTTCCTCAAATTATAAAAAAATACAAAAAGTTTTTTATTTCAAATTTTTCAACACTATTAAATCGCAATTCGTCTGGCTTTGTATTGCTCTGTAGTTGCCAGTAAGAAGATTTGAAGTATAGCATTACGTGGGAGAAGATAGAGAGAAAGAGAAAACGACAGACAGTAAAATAGAAAGACAGATAGAGAAAGAGAGGGACAAAAAATAAGAGAGAGAGAGAGAGAGAGAGAGAGAGAGAGAGATGTGGTATATAGAAAGTGTAAAAAAATTAAGAAAAAGATAGATTCCAGGCAAAGATAAAAAAAGAGAGAGATAAATGAAAAGAGGAATAAAAATTATGCAGAAATGAAGAGAGGAGAAAAAAAAGGAAAAGAGAAGAGGAAGAAAAAAAGAAGAAAAAAGAGAGAATAAACAAAGAAGTAAGCAAACTTCTCCAGAGGAAAACTTTAAAGACTCCATCTCTCGGAAATGTCTTTGGGCTACAAAACCTTGAAAACTTTTTATCGTGATAATTTCTTTTGTATAATTTCTTAATTTTTCAATAAATTTTCTGTATTAATTTTAAAAGGTTTGTTTCTGACTACTTGAAGAAAATTGTAAAGAATTGTTTTGAATACTCCGCTTTAGATAGGAAGATTCTGCAGAGAAATAAAAATCCTGGTTGGTTCGTAAATTGATTCACATCGATGCGTACCTAAACCACAAAAACTCACCCATGGTGACCATGAGGACAAAAAATGAAGATGATGATGACGGCGATGGTGACAGGCAAAAACAAGAAAAAAAAACTGAAGCGATTATTATTTGTTATTTATGATTATATCATATTTAATACGCGCAATCATTCATCCAATCGCAGTTGGATGACTAGAAAGTTCACTGACACTATTCTACGCACACGCACACACACAAATACACACACACACGTACATACATACTTATATGTATAGTATATATAATAACAATGGTGTCGTGTGTATAAATTTAAAGGACGATAATTGCGAGCTTTGTTTATTTCAAACACGTCAAATTACATCATCAGCTTGTTCCATTATTGTTAGGTTGTTGTTGTTATTGTTGTTTTTGTTGTTATCATTTTCTATTATCATTATTATTATTGAAACAACAAACACAAAAGTTTGTTAATTATATTTTAGCGATTTAATGGGGTTGAAAAGGATAACAATAACGATAATAATATCGCCACTGGAACACCACTACCACTCTTACTACTGCTACCACTACCACTACTGCTACTACTGCTATTGCCGATACTACTACTACTACTACTACTACTACTACTGACAATAATAATAATTATATTATTAACAATATGTCATAAATTATCTAATTGAAACTGATAGCCTTTGATAGCAAAAAGGCAATTTAATTAAATTCTTGCCTTGTTTTTTTTTTATTCTTTCAATTTATGAATACATTTTACAGTAATTTAAAAAAAATGAAAAAACGTTTAATTTTAATTGAATTAAAATTTAAGACTGTTCGTCGAAGACCTTTAGAAATCGCAAAGTTGCCGAACTGACAATTGTCCAATTGTGTCCATCCATATTGACCGTTGTTTTTATTTTTTTGGGAGCGATATCATTTTACGTTTTCATGTTTTTAAATATTTATATATGTGTTAAACATGCACACACACACACACACATGTGTGTGTGTGTGTGTGTGTGCGTCTGGGTGTTTATAAAAGTGCGGCCTGTTTGTTTGTTTTGTTTGTTTGTTTGTTTGTGCGTGTGTGTGTGTGTGTGTGTGTAAGGTTGTTTTTTGATCTATGTATGATGTTTGTGTTCATATATGTAAATATTTTTGTGTCTATGCTAATATTGACTTGAGGTTGACTTGGGTTGGTTTAAATAATAGATGGATGGACGGACGGACGGATGAATGGATGGATGGATGGACGGATGGATGGATGGACGGATGGAGGGTAGACGAGGTATGCTTTTTGTTCTCCTAAAATAAAACCGAAATACTATAAGTTGATTTATTCGAATGAAAATTTAAAAAAACAAACTTCTAAATAAATAATGTGGCGCTATACAAATTCTTTCAAAGTCAGACCGGTCGATAATAATAACAATAATAATAATATTGGCGGTAATAGCAATGATAGATTTCAAATTTTAAAAAATGGATATTTGAAAGAGGAAAGAAATTGTTTTTTTTTCAGAATGATTGTACGAGTTATCTCAAAAATTTTGAAATTTACGACTTCTTATAAGTATGCTCTGCTCGTTTGTTCTGTTGTTCGTTCTATTGTTTTCTTTGTATGTTTGTTTGTATATTTGTTTGCCTTGCTTGTTATTTGTTGTTTTGATATTTTCTGTTTGGTTTAAGTTAGTATGTCATCATAGTCGCGAATTGTGTTTGTGTGTTTGCTAAATTTTATGTTTGTGTGTTTGCACACGTGGCTGTGTTTTTTGCTGTTTTTTGCCGAATGTGTTTGTTGACGTTTTTTCTTTCCCATCGTGATGTTATCTGGACACTTTGCTCTATTTTGTTACTTCAAAGACCGTCTGTACATTCTAAATATAAAATATCGCAGATCAAATTCTCTGTTTAGATAATATTTTTTTATTCTTATTGTTGTTATTATTCCATTTTTATTCTTATTATTTTTATTCTCCTTCATCTCTATAGTAGTAAAAATAACAACATGATTACATATGTGATATTCATTTTTAAAACTTTTAATAATGTCATCAGTTCGGGAGTTAGTATAAACAAAATGAGAGAAAAATCACTAGATATTTGTTGAAATTGTACATTTTGAATTTTTCTAAATGTCATACATTAAATTAATTCACCCACACAAACACGTACAGGCGCACATACACACGCGCGCATATGCAAATACATATTCATTTATATTTAACTATTTGGCTAGGCTACTAAAAATTCAACATTCTTCAAAAGTTTTATCGCGTTAAGAATAAAGCTAAAAATTTTATTTTATTTCATAATTGGAAACAGTATTTCATTAGTAACATCTGACCACAACTTGTGTGTGTGAGTGTATATATGTGTGTGAGTGTGTGTGTGAGTGTGTGTGTGAGTGTGTGTGTGTGTGCGTGCGTGTGTGACCAGACAACCAACGAACATGTGTTTGTTCAAACCAGACTCATTCGTCCATTCAAGCATTGCATCTTTAGAAACTTTTTCCAGGTCAGCGATTAACTTTATTAGATTATTTCATAATTGAGTCCAGGTTTTCGATGGCATGTATTTTAGAATTTAATGAAAATAATTATGTTTATTATCCTTTATTTAATAATTTATTCAATTTTTTTAGATATTTTTGTTAACCAATTTTTATTTGAGTTATAATGTCATAACTCTCTCAATAATGTCATAACTCTCTCAACACGCAAACACACACGCATCACAAACCTTGCGTGTGTTTGCAATCGAAACAAGTCACTGAAAAACGCGATCTAGCGTCTTAGCCATTTTACTATTTCTATATTATTTATCGATAGTTTGATGTGATATTTTGATGTTTCGATAGTTTGATCAATCAATCAATCAACCAATCAATCAATCAATCAATCAATCAATCAATAAATTCGCCACGAAGCTTGTGATAAACGGGGATTTTTTATCCATATTGTAATCGAACTCTGTGACTGCTAGGGTAGTTGGTACATTGTCGTGAACAAATTCTTATCCAAAGTAATGCATATGGAACAAAATGTTGTCTTGTAATATGTACACACCACACTACACTGGAACAACGACATAACATAAAGACGATGAAAAATGAGTTCGAGAATGTGAGAATCCTGTCATGAGCCAGAGGAACGATGTTAATTCATTCCACGTAAGACTTCTTTTCTCATTGTTGTTTCGTTTGAAATATGCACGAATATATAATAAAATGTGGGAATTTATGAACATTTAAACAAATGACTTACAGAATAATAATCTTACACAATCATTAATGCACGCGTTAGTTTTTCTCTTTTTTTTCTCTCTCTCTCTCTCACTCTCCTCTCTTTCTCTCTCTTTCTCTATCAATCTCTCATTCTTCTTCTCTTTCTTTTTCTTTGAATTTTTCTCTCTGTCTTTTCAGTACAAAAAGCCCACACACATTTACATATACGTATCTTAATACACAAACAAAAACTACGCACACACGCACGCACACACGCGCACACACACGCACACACGCTAAGGAGAAACAACACGTATCATTATTACAAAAGGGAATGGTACGATGGAATAGGAAGTTTATTTGACTGGGAATCATTTGAAACAGGTTTAACATGGGGTAACATTACACACACACACACAAACACACACTCACACACCTTCTCACACACAAAAACCCCATTCCAACCACAACACATTAACACAACACACACACATTTAACAATACAATACATATTGTATAATCTTTATAAACGTTTTCACGCACACCACCGCCACATGGAGTATAATAACGCACCCGGTTTGTTTATTATTTTATGTTTTATGGTCTTTTAAATCTCAAAAATTAGATTTAGTGGTATCCTTTGATTTTTTCGCATTCGTAAATCTAAATGAAATAAAATAAACACTCAAACCAGCTTTTTCCATAATAATAATTATTATTTATATTATTTTATTATTATTATCCATGATATTATTTATATTATAATTTAAATTATTATTTTTATTAGTAGTAGTTAAACTTGAAGCTAATATTTAATTACAGACTTGCATTTTAAATCGTTTCAAACCCGATCAAATTTTTACGTATGAAGATTTTAACCACTTAGCACTGTGTGTGTACTGTAGAGATGAGATTAGTTGTGTGTAGTCTGAGTTTGTCTGAGTTTGAATGGATGCAGTAGGTGGTGTTTGTGTGAATTTTTGTTGGTGTGTTTAAGTTTTGTAGTTCGTCGTCGAAGTGCTTCGAGTTTTTTTTTTAAATAATAAAATTAATGTTAGGTGTGAAGTTGACGTCTGCGGACCTATTGATAACACTATGGCAATTTTAATTCAATAAAAATGTTAACTCCCTCTTTCCCTCTCTCCCCCCCCTCTCTCTCTCTCTCTCTCTCTCTCTCTCCTTCTCTCTTTCACACACTCACTCAACTGAAGTATTCATTATTAACAATTATTTTCATTTAATTTTTTTATTAAAAATTCTCTAAATTGAAATCCATACATCATTGGCTGTTGAGTTAATTCAATAAAATATGTACTGAAGCAAGCCGAATTTGAGAAATGTGTTGCGCTGTGTATATGTAGTAACTATATTAACGATAAATATCTTACAACATAAGAAACCGTACTAGAGATAATACAACATGATAAGTAATATCATAGATTCACAGCAAAGGAAATAGCAGTATTAGAATTACACAATACAACAGTAATATACACAAGAAAAAAATAAGTTTCAGTAACGTGAGTAAAAATAGTGTCACTACTGTTAAAAGAACTTGAAAGACTATGGAAGAGCTATGAAATTGAAATTAATTAAGAACTGAATTGAATCGGTGACAATTTGAACCTGATACAATGTAACGTTAAAAAATTATCCGCCAAACGTACAGACAACCAATTTAATTTCTCTTTGAAAATTCAAAATTTTCACCGTTTATAGATCACGTCTTTACGTAATGAACACTTAGGTACACGCTTACATAATGAGCCACCTGAAAACACAACTACCAGCCTTTGTTGGGAAGAAGTCGAAGCAGAACAGTCTGATCCACAATCTGAAGGAAACCTACGCTTTCGTGCAGAATCACTATCAGATCTCTCCAGGCGATTTCCCGAACCTGAAGAAGATGCAGGAGCAGCTGAAGATGAAGGATTTCACGAAGTTTCACACCCTTCGGAAGAAATTGTTGGATACTGTTGATAGCATGCTGGAAGAGGATGTGCCGAGGTTCATGCAGATGATCCCCAAAGACGAACAAGTGAGTTGGTTGGCTGGTTGGTTGGATGATTGTTTCAACTGAATGGATGGTTAGTCATTGATTTTGTGAGGTTTTAACTTATTATTTGTTGAAGGTTTTTCAATATTTTTTAACGAAATATATTAAATAATGAATTGTGAAAATAATAAAATAATATTATTATTCTTCGGAAAAGTTTATTGGGAAAGATAATTTGAAAATTAAATGCGTTAAATGTGTTGAAGTACTTAGTTGGTGTCGCGACAAATTAATTTATAAAGTATTCCTAACTGAATTCATTCCTTGATGCAAACGTCAGGTAATGCGAGACATGTCAATAATAAAAGGAGGTGCGTTCAGTGAATATCTGGAGAGTCCGTTTGGATTCAACTGCGGCGAGGGCATCGAACGCGGGAAGAACGAGCCAGAGTGGGTCGTGTACCAAGGTAGGGCCCAGTATGAAGAAATCTTCCAAACTCTCGGTCCCGTCAACGGGAAAATTTCAGGATTAGCAGCCAAAAAAGAGTTGATGAAATCGAAACTATCCAACGCCATTTTGGGAAAGGTCTGGAGGCTGTCAGATATCGACAAGGATGGATTGCTGGATGTGGAAGAATTCGGTCTGGCTCTGTATTTAATTGATCTGAAGTTGCACGGCTGCGAGTTGCCACACGACCTCCCGGACCATCTGGTTCCTCCCTCAAAAGTTTCTCATCGCCGAGTTGGAATGGTGAACGGAGATGTTAATGGCAATCACCTTGCCGAGATCAGTCACGTCAACGTCAATGGAAGCGTCCACAACAACCACCACCACCAACAGCAGCAATCGCCACAACAACAACAACACAAGTTGAATCATGCTGGTACCAGCAGTACGGAATGCGATTTTTCAGATAAATTATATCCTATGCCCAGTTCAGGCGCCATTAAAGTTGAGTATTAAATTGACTTTGTTGGGTGTTTTGTTTAAAAGTGCGAACGTGTTCACGCGTTTTAATCATCGACGCTTTAAATAGAATTTTAAATTTTTGTTTTCATTCATTCATTTATTCATTCAATCGTTTATTCATTCATATTATAATTCAATCATATTATAATTTATTTATTCATTCATTCAATCAATCATTCATTCAATCAATCAATCATTCAATTATTGATAAAGAAAATTCTAAAGTAATTGTGAAATTAATTGTTGATATTCTTGGTTGAATAATTTCAATTGCAAAGGTGATTGAACTTTGAAAAACTCGACCGATTTTATATCGAATATGTTAAATTTAATTATAGTTATAAAAAGTGGAAAACCAGATCAATCAATCGATCAACTAATCAATCAACCAATCAGTCAATCAATCAATCAAACAATTGTACAAATCTTATCTTTAATTTTTTAAACATTGCATTTATAAATAATAACTTATATCAGACAAGTGAGTGCTTCTTCGACTTTTACATACTTTGTTTGAAAAAAAATTATTAAACGTATACTTCAATTTTTGCATCTTAAAAATTATAAATTGTACATAGACAAAATAATTATACAATCATATATATATATACATATATGTATGTATATTATTGGCTTTGTATAAATTAATATATATATATTTATATATGTACATATATAAATAATATATATATATATATTTATATATACATTTATATACATGCATATAACACATTATAACAAGTGCAGTGAAGAGCCCCACAATTCCCATGAACATGACATTTGAAGCTCGCCAATTTTTTCGATGACGAATGATTTTGTGCGTGTGTGTGTGCGTGCGTGCGTGCGTGTGTGTGTCATGACACCACTGCTATGTGCCTTCAGTCGTGTATTATACTCTGATTTATTTATTTTCATTTTTTTATTATTTCTGTGTCCAAAATTTAGGTTGCAAACTGTAATGTGATTTATTAATGGAATTAACTTTTTATTCAACTTAAAATTTGAAAAAATTCTATCCAACGAAATTGTTGAGAAAAGCTGAAGAGATGCTTTTTTCTGGCATTTTAAAATACATCCATTTATTATCTCCTTGCATTATTCTCAAAACAATTCGTTTACTACTCCTTTTGAATTCTTACTGCATTCGACATATGAAACGTTTGCACGCACGTCACGCAAACACAACACATGGTTTTAATACGCAGACATCATCACATTTATCCTACGTATTCCATTCTCTTCCTCCACACGCATATCAATACACGCACGCACACAAACACACACAAACACACACACTCAAATATATATGCACTCGTACTCATACGTAGTCAGCCACATGTAAATATCTAAACACACATTCACACAGACATACATTATTACACACGCACACAAGTATGTATCTATGTACTGTACAACTTTCATACACACGTACATACAACACAACGCATGAAAGCATGTTGTATATATATATATATATATATATATATATATATATATATATATATATAACATGCCAATTGGATGACATAAATATGCTGAAAATATCAGATTATTGGCCATGATTCAAGATAAATTATCACTTTTATTCTTAATGTTATTTGATATCCCTCTGGAATGATAGCTATTTGTCTAGTTTTTGCATACACACACACGCTTTATAAAACTGTGTGTGTGTACGTGGTATATGGACGTGCATTTATTTTTAAATATGTGCGTATTTGTGCTAGTGTGTGTGTGTGTGTGTACGTGTGTACGTGTGTAGGGCCGTGATTTCCAAATTTTCACAGACACGTTCTTCTATTTGATCAGTTTTTCTATTTATTGCAATGATATTACGAAGCTAATGCAATTAAACCAATTTTTTTTTCTTTTTTTTTCTAATTGGTTTAATCAAAATAAAAAGAGTATTTGTTTGGCTGAGAAAAAAACGTTCACATCTTTCTTAATCACGCATCAATCAATGTTATTATACGCCAGGGTATTGCCTATACATCATCAACACATATCCTCTTATCCCTTTCTACGTGAGAATGTTCTAATTTGTTAAACTCTCTCAAGTTTCAATTTCATCCCAAGAGGTCCAAATTAACTTGTATATCAAATTAAATGAATTATTATTCGGAAAAATGAATTAAATATTATCTAAATTTAAATCTCTCTGCTGTGTTTTTTTTATTTTCCTAACGATGGCGGAAAACATTCAATTTAACAAAAAAAATATTACATGAGTTTTTCTTTCTTTTCAAAAATTTATGTTTTTATTTATTAAATTATTTATTTTATTTTTAATTAAAATATTTTTATTCAATCACTAAATCATGTATAATAATATTATGTTATTAATCATAATTTCAATGATGCCTTATAAAACTTAGTTGTTTTTACGTATTTATTATATATATATATATATATATATATATAGAGAGAGAGAGAGAGAGAGAGAGAGAGAGAGAGAGAGAACGAGACTGACTTTGTGTGCATGTATATATTTATAGATATTTATTTAACATTTACGATGCCAAATTGTACAATGCCTTTCAACTGTTAACTCTTCTCCTGTTGTCTTCAATTATTTTTAAAATTTAGTAAAAAAATTTTTGATTGATGTTCGGCGGAGTATGAAATATTTCATTTGATGAATGTAATTTATGCCTTTGTTGTTTCTATTTATAAACTTTTTATATTATCTTATTTAAATCATCTTTATTTATTTTGAAATTTGGTTAATTCCGAAGAAGAAAAATGGGTTTTGTCTTGCGTTTTTTTTCCCATGCTTTCAAGTACTATTAAATTATAATTAACGATACTAAAAACTTCAAATCAGAAAATATTTATTAACCAAACAAAAAGTGTACCCCTATCAATTGAAATTCTTTTGGAAGATGAGTCGTCCAACATAATTATCAACATTTGGACATTGAAAACTTTTAAAAAGCTCCTCGAGACTCTCTGAAGAGCGCTTTAATGGCAACAGCTTCAGTAACAATACACTCGTTCTTCTACACTTAGAAGATGATGTGATCAGAGGAATGTCACAGTTGTTTCTGTTAAGAACTTCAAAGTTTCTTTCGTTATTTAAATCGATACGAAACTGATTAATTCGTTGGTGATTTGTAGAATTATGTCCGTAGAAATTATTTATCTCCGTGTAATTTACGCTGCCAGAGTTGTTCGTGTGTGATTTGAAGTTGACATGCGTTTCTAGAAGGTTGAGAACTTTCATTTGCACGTTCTCCACCGCTGGAGCGTTCGTCAACTGCTGAACGTCTGTCGTCGGGGGGATGGTTTTGTTGTAAGTTGAATTAGCAAATTTTTGGCTCAAAAAATAAAATGCCATTGTGTTCGCGTCAGGTAGGAATAAAATTATCGTTATGTGAAATGTTTTTATAATGCTTTTATTACCACACCTCTAATTTCCTATGACGTTGTTCGATTGCGTTTTTGAAATATTTCAAGAAAAATTGTTTCTATATGATGGTCGATGCTGATAAAATGATATACAAGTTTAAATGTGGAGCATTGATTAACAAACAATTAATAAATTTATTGTAGAGTTAAAATGTTAAATTAAACTTCAATAAATAACCTGGGTTGAAAAGAAGTAGCAACTTTAAGCATGCCAACTCGATTCCATCCAGCCCCATATTTGAAATGAGTGTGACAAAATCTTTGAGATGTTTCAAACGTTTCGGGTTAGCATCTCGTTCTCCGTCGGAGCAACTAAATCTTTGAGGAAACTTTTCGTCATTAAGGTTTGAACATTCCTTTGTTGTTTCATTATTATCTAATGTCTTTCCTAGCTGAATCAAATTTAGGATCAATATTTCTTTCCACGAGTTTGATATCAGAAGGTTGATGTCGTAACTTGCTATGTAGCTCCAATATACACTCATTACTTCCTTCGTCCAAAGTATGGTCAATTTTATAATTCTATACAGAACACTAGAGCTCAAGATCAAATTATCACCTTTTAAATTAAAACTCTTGAAAAAGTCGTTTTCGATGTTCAAAATTGTCGTCAAGAGAGATTTTTGAGATTTTGAAAAGGAAATAAATTGATTATATTGTTGAGGAGTGGATGGAATGGCGGCTCTGTTGATGTGTTGTGGATTGGCCCACGTGACTCTGCCCTTTTGAACAGCTGAAAGATCAATGTTCACGTTAATTTATTATTTGTTTTTGTTATTTATTACACTTATTTAAGTTTTCATCAATGGTAATATTAATTCCAGTCAAATGAAAATAAAAAAAAACCCAACAATTGATTTTCATTCCCATCTTCAGACACCTGTCCATCCTGCAGCCCGGACATTGGGTCCTGCTGGTCAGCGTCACCTCACATGCTCCGAACTTCTTGCATCGAAACTGCGACCTGTGGAGTCGTTTTGAAAGCCAAACATCTTGTTTGAGGATTTTAAACTTGTTCAGATTTCATCTAAATTTACATAGTCACAACACCACAAACGGCTTTACGATGCTAAGTTGAAAATTAATTGCCACCATCATCATCATTGTTACCATCATCACCATCAACATCTTCAACATCATCATAATCACCAACACCACAAATATCATCACAATCATCATCATAATCACCCATTTCGGACAGCTCTCTTGAAAAAGCTCTTGCATCCCTCACAGGATACGATCCCGTAATGATTCCCACTGCTCCTGTCCCCACATATCCTACACTCGTTTCTGTACCTGGTCCCCGCTACATCCGGTTCTGATGACGTTTGTGGGTGGTGGGTGGTTATGTAGGGATGGGCGTTAATGGTGGAAAGTTTGAAATGAAAATTTTGCACAAATGAATAGAATGTTGCAATGAAATGTAACGTTTTCATCGGCGATGCGGTTGTACGAAGAGAACATTTAAGACGTTAATAACACACCTCTATACAATAGGATATAATCCTATTTAAAACTTTTGGCCACAACTCTAGCTAGAGATAAAAACTAAATTCTTGAGAAACTTTTTGGGTTTATGTATAATTAATTTTCATGATTAAATAGTTAGCGGAAGTGTGGCTGAATGTTTGCGATGAATTTTGAAGAAAATGTTGAACCATGATGCTCAAATAATTATGTTAAACTTTTACAAAAGTGTTAAATTTTTAGCCTTATAACTTGAATATATTAAAATTTTTATTTAATTTTCATAATAAAATAAAACATGTGAATATTTGTTTATTAAGTTTTGGTCATATTACAGTAGAAAGTATGAGATTAACATGCAAGTTCCCTAATAACAGTTACAAAACTCCCATTAACACATTCAAACAAACATGCAAACAACGTTGAAACACGCACGCGAACAAACATACAAACAAACACGCGAACAACCTCCAAACACGAACCCGAACAAACATACAAGACAAACATTCACACGCACACACACGCACGAACCTTGTTCCATTACAGATTAACAACGGAGATAGCACAACACACGCAAGACAAACACTCCACTCCATAAATCACCATGGAAAAATTGAAAAGCAATAAATCATCACACACACGCACCCTTTATATACAGATCTACACACGTACAACAAACATCACGCACACACAAACAAACACATATTACACACACGTTCACATGCAGTATATGTTCACTCATAAATAAACAACAAGTATACACAAAATAGGCATACGCAGTAAACGCACAACAGGCAGGCACGCACACACAAACTAACAAACAAACACTTGCATACAAACATACATATGTACATATGTATTATATGTATTAATATTCATTGAATACATACCTAGAGTATTGATATATAAGAGTATCTTCTACTTTATTTAATAGTAATAGCGATAGTAATTTTTTGAGTTTTTGATGGTTCTACCAACAATTTCGGTGGTGATACAAAAATTATCGGTTCCGAATATATAATTGCTCTGTCGGGTGTCAATCGAATGCCCGGTTGACAATGGCAAGCAATCATAAATATAATAAATGGTTGCTTTGTGTTGCATGTGATTGTTTTGTGCGTGTTGACGTGCGTGTGTGTGAGTGTGTTTGTATGTATGTTCTGTGCTGTGTTTTATTGTGTGATTTGTATGTGTTTATGTTGTATTGTGTATGTGTGATTGTATGTTTGTTTAAGTTTTTTGTAGCTATGTGTTTATGTTTTATTTGTTTGAACGTAAAAGCGTTGATGCACAAGTGTTTGAATCGAATGGGTTTGAGAAGATTTCATTTAATATCTTTTTCTTAATTTGTCTTGTCATCTTCTTCGTCATCACATTCTTACAGAAAACTTCCAAATGAAATGAAATAAAGAACATCAAAGGACGAACGCACGTGCAGATAATAACATTCCTTTGCAAAACCGCATCATACGCACACTCAAACTACACACAACTACACACACAGAGAAACTCACACACGCAAACTAAACATACACACACACATACACACACACACACACACACACACACACTACTACTACTACTAAAAATACTCACCACACGCGGTTATGTCGTTAAGAAACGAAAATCGAAAGCGTAAAACATCACAGAATAGTCACGTGTCCATAAACAAATATCACCATCATCATCGTCACCATCGCAGCCATCATCATCATCATCATAACTCACGTTCATAGCTCCGACAGAGAACGAAACTTAGGGTGTAAGAAAGGTATAAATGTACGAAGACATGTACGAACAAATGGACGAACACATGTACGAACAGTTGAACGAACGAACAAACGATAGATCTCTGACGTGTGATTGATTGACTGATTGATCACTACTGTCTTTTATCACTTTCTCATATCTTTTTCGTATTTTTCACTGAATTAGATCGCCAAATTTAGGTGAAAATTCTACTGGTATTAGGACAACATTTTATTTTTTATTTTTCAATCTTTAAACCAAAAATTAAATAAAATCAAATTTTGAGGGTGTTAAAAATTAAAAAAAATTGAAATATATATATAATGATGATTTGATAGAAATGGTACATAAGATACAAAAATGTTCACAATACAAATTTTTGTATACCATACAGACATTAACCAGAAAATACTCTATCAAACTGTCCGGTTAACTGTTATGATAATGATGATAGTAATAATAATAATAAAGTAATAAAATCAATAATAATAATTATTATTATGGTAATAATAGTCGTAAAAAAAGTAAAAGTAGTAGTAGTAGTAGTAGTAGTAACAGCTGTAGTATTGGTAGTAGTAGTGGTAGTAGTAGTAATAGTAGTAGTAGCAGCTGAAGTAGTAGCAGTTGTAGTAATAGTAGTAGTAGTAGTAGATCAGTAATAATGATAACAATAATAATAACAATAATAGAATTATTGATAAATTTTCTAACAATATAAATTAAATATATTAATCAACACTCTCCCAAACAAACTGTGAAATATTTATGTAAGAAGTTTGTTAAAAGTAATTCGTATTGTAAACATGCATTGCATACGTTATCTGTTCAGTATAGATATATGTATCAATCAACCAATCAATAAACAATCATCAATCGATCATTCTTTCATTTGATCAATCAATCAAACAATTAATTATCAATCAACCGGTCAATCAATCCATCAATCAATTAATCAGTAACTCAATCAATCGCATAATCACTCAACAATGTATTATGAAACTATCCTTCAACCAACCATAAATAATTATTAAAAAAAATTAGTCAATAAACAAAAAGGAAAAAAGGCAAATGCTTTATCAATTAACTAAATAAATAAACGACTTGAATAGTGCTTGAATAAAATTTACGAACAATCATTCAGTTGACCAATCAATCAATCAACCAATCAATCAATCAACCAACCAACCAACCAATCAATCAATCATTCAGCTGCACATGGCATTCAACAGCTGTTCGACGTCCAGTTTGAAATTTGACCAGGCCGGTGACATGAAGTTGTAGGCAAGAAAGGCTTCATTAGATTTAGTGGCTATCGTCACAGTTTCTGGTGTCGTCCAAGTATAAGTAGCAGCAGTAGTAGCAGTAGTAGTAGCAGCAGTAATAGTAGCAGTAGTAGTAGTAGTAGCAGCAGCAGCAGTAGTAGTAGTAGCAGCAGCAGTAGTAGTAGTAGCAGCAGCAGCAGCAGCAGTAGCAGTAGTAATAATAGATGTTTTATAATCCGTTTTTGATGTTGTTATCAATGTTGAACTTGGATTTTTTGATGGTGAGTGTGTTGAGTTGGTGAGCGATCTTGCACTTGTTGCAGTTGTTGGATTGGAGGTGATCTTTCCTGCCGATGAACTTTTCATCTGAACACCTGCGTCAAAAAATAATAATCTCTTCAACATTACTCACGAGAAAATTTTTTGATTAGATTATGCATGAGAATAACCAGAGCCAAAAAAGAATGAAACAAAATCATCAAATAAAAATGCAGACGAAAGCCTCCAATATTCATTTGAAAAATCGCAAATCAAATTGAATTAAACTAAATATGTGAGTGTAAAAATTATCTATGAAGCATCATGCATGGTGCATTCGTTCGTTAATCAGTGCTTCGTGCTGCATATTTCAATCTCAAACTAATGACAATATAGCGAGACCTCAGAGGGCAAGCTTGGCAGAATGAAAGAAGGGAGATTGAATGTTATACGTGCTGAGATGGCGCGGTTCTCTTAGAACTGTTCAGGATGAACTCTGACCAGGTCTAAGAAATTAAGTAAAAATTAAGTAAAAATTAAGTTGAGACTTGAGGAGTTGGGGATCACAAGATTTGGAGGCAGACTGGACACATCGGTATTGACAGCGGCAGATCTTTCGCTTACTACAGTAATTGTGTGAATTGTGTGTCTAACCAAAGTTGAATGACGAAAGTAGATGATTTTAATTTAAAAAAAATCTATCTACCTTGCTGTGAAGGAAGTTGGAGCAATGGAGTTTTGTGCTTGCTGGCTGCCGTCCTCTTGTTATCAGTGACATTTCCACCGATGATTCTCTGGCTGTGTTGGTCGCTTGCACCATGAGGTGGTGAGGGCTCTTCTTCACCAAATTCACTACGCTGCATCGGGGCAAATGGACAGTTGAATGAATACATGGGAAAAAAATTGACTTAATTGGTCGACGATGAAAGTAAAATGAAAAAAATGAACTAAAAGTTAAAGCAGAAAAATTTGTTACATTTACCGAAGCAGGGTACCCGAAACGTTCTGTCCTGCGTGTAGCCATCGTCTGTTCATCACTGGAATGTTCACTCGAGTGTGAACCAACAGTATCGATTTTTTTATGGGGATGACGATGACGACTGGATTGTGGGGTTGAGGTGGTCGGTGACTCTGTGCCACCTATCTCTGGCGTTGCGAGAAACTTATTTTTAATCGCTGGTGTTGAGCTTTTTGTAAGTTTATTTACAGTTTATCAATTCGATAGCACAATTCTACAAGCGATGGAAATAGATTATGGATTCAAATTTGCTAACTATTCTTTTCGATACGTTAAATTTTTATTCAAAATATTTTCCCATTCATAAATTATCACATGATGTTTTTAACAAAAAAACCTAATGTAGCATTAATTTTTCTCACAATTCAATTCAATACGTTTCACTTCAATATGTTTCAATTCAGTTTAATATTTACCAAAAGAATATAATATTAAATACAACAAAACTAAATATTGCAGAACATTTTCTAAATTTCAATCACAATCAGCCAGCCGGTCAGCCAGTAAGTCAGTAGGTCAGTCAGTCAGTCAGTCAGTCAGCCTGCCAGCCAGCCAGTCAGCCAATTAGCCAACCCAGCCAGCTGACCAGTAATTCATAGGTGAATACATATAGAACATCTGACTTTCAGAGTTCTGTAGAAAACTGTCAAAATATTCTTGATGATGATGTGGTCTTCTTTGTTGCTGCTGATTCACTTGCCACTGTTGTAATAGTTGTTGCTGCTGTGACTGGTATTGTGGCTGATATGTTGGCTGATACGTTGGCTGATACTGCTGCATGAATGGTGTTAGAAGTGGCGTTTGTTGCTGCTGTGGCTGATACTGCTGCATGAATGGAGTTTGATGGGGAGGAAAGTGTAGATACTGTGATGGCGTTTGAAGTAGTGGCTTGTTTCTGACCGATTGTTCCAATTGTCTAGAGGTTCCTGGTAGCAGCGGTTGATTCCCAAAGTTCATGGGTTCGTTTGCATGCTGATATAAATTTAGTTGCTGCTGCTGTTGTTGCTGCTGTTTTTGTTGCTGCTGTTTTTGTTGCTGCTGTTGATGTTTTTGTTGCCGTTTGTGTTGTTTTTGTTGTTTTCGTTGTTCTGGTTGTTTATCAAATTTTCTTTCTCCATTTTCTTTTTCTTCCATTTTCATATCTCTGCCTTTCATCTCAGATATCCTTTGCTTCAACTCTCTGTTGATGTTATTTTCAATGGGAAATAAACTAATACATTTAATTGTCTAATTAACAGAATTTATACAGGCTGAATAAATAACAATAAAAAAAAATTAAAATACTATAACAACCCTAGATCAAAATCAAAAAACAAACATGACAAATACAAATATTTCAGCAAACCCCAACAAAATTATTAATAAACCATGAAAATAATGATGAGATAAAAAAAACAAAAACATAAAAACAAGTGCCACGCAGACACACGCGAAAGCACACACACACACACACACACACAAACCTGACAAAAGGCATAACCATGAAGAAATTGTTGGACGGAATGTTCAGTTTCAACTTGCTCGTTGGGTCCAGTTTGTGAGTAGGTAAGTTTTCAACCTCAAACCAACTATAACGCTATATAGAAGGTAATAATTATTATCATATTTTATCATATAATTAGCATATTATTAATTAACATATTATAACCATATTATTATCATACTATTACCATATTATTACTATATTATTATCATATTATTGAATAAATAATTACTAAACAACTCTATACTGATGTATAATAAATTTCAGAGAAAGAATTGTAAACAGAGAAAAAAAATCCAAGAGATATCCATCCCATCCCTACTCAGGACAAACCAACCGACCTTCACTTCATTCCTAGTCAGTGGTTTAAATTTGGTATCCATCGGTACGTCGCGAACAACGTAGAGGCGACACGTCTGCTCGTTCATGGAGTGCTCCAGGAAGTTACTCGGATCTATCAGCTTCTTAATGTCGAATCCTGTCTCTTCGTACACCTGGCGGTTATTTCATAAAACGTTATTATTATTACATTATAAGATTGTTTTATTATTATTTGTGAGAGAGAGAGAGAAAGAGAGAGAGAGAGAGAGAGAGAGAGAGAGAGAGAGAGAGAAATTCTAAAAGAAATTGTGATAAGAAGCATAAGAAATAGATAGTTACCTCTCGAATGGCACATTCTTCTGGTCGCTCGTCTTCATTGACCTTGCCCTTAGCGAAACTCCAGCTTGCCTTCACGTTATACCCTTGCAACAGTAGGCACTTGAACAAATGTATTTTAATATATGTATAGAGAGAAATTGTATATATATATGTATTTTAATATATGTATGGAGAAAAAATGTACATATTTATGGTATAATGGATTAGGTGCCTGGCACTGATGTTACAGTGACTGGGTTCGATGGTGAAAAGATCTCCACCAACCCCATGTAAAGTGTGTGAAGCATTTGTTTTGTGTGTTTGTTGTGAGAAGTACCTTGGAGAAATACTAGCAAGAGAGAGCGAGAGAAAGAGAGAGAGAGAAAGAGAGAGAGAGAGTGAGAGAGAGTCTTGGAAAAATTATTGTTATTTGTTGATACTTTCAAAACTTCAACTAGTAAGCCTGATAGAACTCATAAATGAACTCATTTACACCTAAGTTTACAATACAAGCATGCATTTCTTTGATTAAAACTCTTAAAAAGTAAGATGAAGACTATCTATAAAATTCAAGTTAAATAGTGTATGCAGTTGCTCTCTATTTAATTCACATCTCTCCTTCACCCCTCCCCCCCCTCTCTCTCTCTCTTTCTTTACCTTTAACATCCAAACTTTTCAACTGAATATTAAATAGGGTAAGGTTTAATAGGATTTCATGCATAAATGTAGAGCAATATATAAAACAATGCTGATGAATAAATTTGCAAAACTTTTGATGTATACATTTAAAAATAGAAAACAATAAAAGGCAAGTACATATTGAAGTGTAGGGTCCAGAAGGATAGCGCCGTACGTCGGCACAGCACTCTTATACACCTTCCACTCTTCGTAGTACCGATCAAAATCTTCCAAGTAAATCGCAAACTTGTCACAGCACCTGAATATCTGAAAGGCAAAGTCCTTCATACCAACGTAGCAACATTCCTCGTCGTCATCCCTCACGAAATCCAGATAGAACCAGTGTGCCAACTCCATCTGGAAAAATAACCGTACAATGTCATCACATTCTGGCTTTGGGACATTCAGTATGAAACGTCTGAAGAAAGAAAATATTTTTTTTTTATTTTTTTGATATTACCAAGTTGAGATAGATACAGAGATTAATTACTTTATGAAAAATTGTATAAATTATTTTTATTCTCAAAGTCCTTATTGTATTTAGATGTTTAGTTGGGTGTAATCTTTATAACCTTACTTAATCAGGTCTTACTTAAACAAATAATATGATAATTTGAAAAAAAAAATTAAAATTAAACTTTTCATAATTTTAAATAACCAATGAAAAGTATGAATTCCATGAGCATCATCATACGCAACTAATAACATTAGATTTGATGTATTGGACAGAATATAGTATAGAAAAATATACTATAATAAAAATGATTTCATAGGTGAACTCTCTTGAAATAGTGAGTATAAAATTAAATACATATTTTAACTGAATTTTATGTAGACTTTTAAAAAATGAACGTAATACAGAATGTTATGTATTAATTAATTAAATTAATCGTTAAACTTTGACAAATTAGATAAGTACATATAAATATAAAATATAAATAGACAACAGATATTTTATAAAAAAAATTGTCCACTTTTACTTACGCGCATAAGTCCTTGAGGATGTGATTTGGAAGGTTGGGCATATTGTTGGACCTTGCAATCAGCATGGGCATTAGTCTCTTCTTAATCTCATCAATTGTATTTCCTCGACCAACAGCAGTGGCTCCGACTACTGCATCATTATTAACACCAGTGGCAGAAGCAGAACTCATATTTCCGGATTCAGCTGTCTCGTTCTTCATTTGAGTTTCAGTTTTTCAGCAAAAATTTCCAATTTCGCAATAAAATTAAATTAACAATTAACCAAATTGTTGTTTGTTAAGTTAATTAAATTTGAATTTTAAAATGATAAAAATTCCGTTGATGAAAAGCTATTTTATCAAATATATTAACATAAACAGGTTAGTAAAACAATCGAAAAAGGCGAACGGCCAACACTAAACCTCCGAGTCAAAAATTTCGACAACTTCTCGACTCTAACCACCACAATTCCTTATATAATCACATATCGTTAGTATCTATGGCGAGCTTGTAAAAGTGACCATAAATAAAAAAGGGATGGGCGAGCGTTTATTTTTAAAAATTGTTCATAGTCTATGTATAGTCCGGTAGAAATTCGCTAAAACGGTCGGTCAATCAATCAATCAATCAACCAACCAACCAACCAACCAACCAATCAATCAATCAATCAAATAGCACGTGGTTTTATTCGGATTTAACATTTATAATTATGTGAAATTTATTATGTAGTTGTAGCATGTGTTAATAAGTGATTAAATCTAGGTCTTATAGATAACATGAACTCTAAACATCCATTCAGTAATGCGGTTATCAATTTCAATCAATCAATCAAATTTATACAGCCTAATTTCTAAAGATTCAACTGGGCTCAACATAAAATTCGTAAAGCTAAAAATTATGAAGTACAAAAATAATAATTAAAAATAAAGATAAAGCAAAAACAAATAATAATTGAATAAATAACTTAAAATAAACAAAATGAAATAAAAACAAAATAATATAAAACAAAGGAATAAAGGCTGGTTGGTCGTATTTAGGACCAACTACCGCTTGGATGAATTATAGTAGTAGGAAACATTCTTTTTTGATTTCAGATAGTTCTCCATGTTCATACCGTTTTGTTTTGCATTTCTGCAATGAGAAATTTATTTAAGTCTTTTAAAAATATGACCAAATTTGACCAAAATGAAATCTATTGCCAGTAAATTATGCTTCATATCATGCTGATAAATTATTGATAACAAAATTACTATTTAGAGATCAATAAGAATGATTCATTAATTAAATAAGTTTTTCATAAAAGAGATGATAAAATAAAACACACTAACAACATTCGCGCCGCCAAAGGAACTTGGTCTCGTGTGGATGGATGATTGAAACGTTTCAGAGCCATATTTTCTATGTCCTCGTTCTGCTTTACTTGCTGCTGTCTCTGCCGCTGTTGTTGTTTCAGCTCTTCTTTCAACTGCCTCTCCTTCATCTCCGATATTCTTTCTCTCAGGTTTCTGTGTTTCGTTGAATTAAAATCGTGAAGTTCAAAAATATTGTTACAGACGTGAGATGGTGAAAGCTACAACACGGTGTTGGAGATATAGAGATTATCGAAGTTATAACATCGGGGTTGGTAGTTACGAGGTTGAAGAGGTTACAACACTGGTGTTAGAAATGGGATTTTTAGGAGATTATATATATTATATATATGGTGTTAGAAGTAAGATTTTGATAGCTGGAATCTCACTGCAGTAAAGAATAACAGGGCTAGAGAACTCAATGTAATTAGTCAAACAAGAGAATCTTATCTACTGACGAACAGTTGTATTCCGTGATTTACCTGTCGATTAGTTATTGTGCTGTATTCTAACGATTTTAACGATTGAATAAGCGAGTGATTGATCACGGCAATACACACAAGTGATTGCCAGCACTGTTTCTTTCCGATAAAGTTCATCTGGAATAAGTCTGTTCAGGCGAGTCGAGAATCCACGTAGAGAGAAATAACCGTACCCTACAAGATCAAGGGGTCGGTTATAACAATATTATAATGTAGGCGGGCGTAAGTATTAGAAATAAATTCTAAATAAATTTAACCTTAGCATTAATAACAATGTATAATTGTATTGGTATTATTTCATTCTTATTAGTGGATTTGAAATAGTAAATTTAATAAAAAGAAGAAATAAATTATAACTTTAATTAAGAAACAACTGCAGCCGTTAAACAACCTGACAAACGGGATGATCGGGTAGAACTCCTCCACAGGTTTCAGGAGACGTATCTCACTGGAAGTCTCCTTCCCATGGCATGGTAGATGTTCCACAGGAAACCAGGAATAACCCTAGGAATGGGAAGTTAAATCAATTTTAAATTCAATAAACAAAAATTGTTTCAATTTCATTAAGAAACATTTAAATACAACTTAACAAAAAAATTTCTGTAGCCCCTAAATACGTAAAAAATAATTTTTGCACTCGAATACAGCAAAAAGATGGTTGAAAATTTATGCATAAAATATTTTTATCTAGTGATAAAACGTTTTAAAATTAAAAATATATTAAATCAATCAATCAATCTTCGTTTTGAGTCCAGAGACCCGGTTTCCCGAGATAGGACGTATATTATTAAAAAAAAGTGCCAAATGGACAAATTCTTGTAATACACCTTGACCTCCATTCTGGTTTTCGGCTCGAATTTCGTGTCCATCGGTACGTCAGAAACGATGTAAAGTCTGCAGGACTTCTCCCTCACACGATATTCAAGAAAATTGTTCGGGTCTAGGTTTTTACTGATGTCAAAGCCGGTCTCTTCCTTTACCTAGAGTTATCAGGTTTTTATTTAAGGTTGAATTAACTTTTAGAGGGAAAAAACGTATTCAAGTCAATGTTGTCTTAAATTTTTTGTCACAGTTTTCTTTTTTTTTAATATTTCTCAGTGGTATCAACAACAACCACACTGTTAATGCATGTGAACCAAGGCACCACACACAATGCATGCGATAGGTGGGTGATCTTTTTAATCTCCAAACCAGTCCCTCCTTCCCTGTCGCATAACCGTGACGATTACACCGCTATTTAAGGTTGAATCACATTTTGGAGAAAAAAGAATTTTATTCCACGTTGCTCTCAAAATTTTTATTCCTTATTTTGGTATATAAAGCATCAAAAATTTTCCGATGATGATTGAAATATTAACAAGATGTAATATAAATAAATTTTAGACGGCTTAAGACCAAAAAAAATCAACTTTATTATAAAATTAATAAAATATTTAATTATAATTTATATTAAATTATAGCTAATAAGAAATGTACCTCACGAATGGCACAATGAACTGGTTCTTCATCTTCGTCAACCTTTCCTTTTGCAAAACCCCACTTAGCTTTCGTGGAAAAACCTTGCAGCAGTAAGCACTGCAAAAATATTTAAAATTATATTTAATTGAATATCGTTACTTTAACCTGCAAAATGTACCTTTAATCGGTTAATATAAAATCAAAATTTCTTCAGAAAAATAGATATGTTTAGAAAAAAAGGCAAAATATCTACAAATTGAAGTGTAGGATCTAGAAGGATGGCGCCATAAGTCGGTATTTCGTTTCTATATTTCTCCCACAGCTGATATGAGGCGTTTATATTTTCCAGGTGCCCAGACAGGCATTCACAGCTGTAAAACATTTGCCGAGCAAACTCTTTTAAAGTTAAACCCATTAATTCGCTGTTGTCTTTCACGTAAAAGTCAGTATAGTACCAGTATGCTTGCTCAGTGTGGTAGAAAATTCTGACCTTATTCTTCAATTCATACTCGGGGATGTTAATCAAAAATCGTCTGCAGATTAAACACATATTTTTACTTCTAAATCGGTGAATCGAAGAATATAAATTATTCTTCAAAGTGAACTAATTTATAATTAAAAGATTACAAAAAGGTTACAAATTTAAAATGAACATTTCAGAAAAAGTCATCACTTACACGCACAAATCAAACCGGATTTCCTTGGGAATGATTTTTTCAGATTCATTTAAAACTTTCTCGTCAACATTTTCTTCAAAATCATTTGGATTTTTGCGCCGGTAGTAATCAATCTCATGAAATACATAGGCATCTGCATATTGAAAATTCATTTCGTCCTTATTGCCGGCGGAGGAATTCATTTTATAAACTTCGACGATGTTAATATACAATGATAATCTTAACCAAATTAATTGTAAAAACAGGCAAATGAACGATTTAAGCAGGCACGCGCTGAAAAACAATTTTTTACTCTAGTAACTAAGACAATAGTCAGGCGGTGGTTTATATAGATCCCAAATTAAATTTATAATTAAATCAATTTAGAGAACTTTGCTTCTTAGCGCTTAAACGTTTAATACACTTCGATACGACTTTTTAACGGCTCTTTATTTGGTTCGAACCTTTTCACACTGCTGTTCTGTGTGAGTGTTTGTGTGGTTTTGCATCTATTATGGCGTGTTTGTCGGTGTATGTTTGTGGGAGTATGCTTATTATTATGTGTACGATTGTATTTATTGTGTGTACTGTACATTAATGCTCGTTACACACACACACATACACACGCGCACACACACACACACACACACATATATATATATATATATTATTGGATTAAGACTGTCAGAAATGCAATTATTGATGAAAATCACAGCATGTTCGGCGTTAATTAACTTCCAATTTAACTTTTCGATTTTTCTAACGGTTGATTGTAAATCATTTTCATTTCGTAATTTGAACTGTTTATTTTTACCAAAGATTGAAGAATTCATCACTAATAAAATTTATTCACAAAAGAGAGCACTTTTTTTGTTATTCTTTAAAATATCAGAAGCTGACATACGCAAAACTGTTACAACATGCAAGGCAATAGTATAAAATGATAACGAAAAATAAATAACGGAGAAGAAAATGTTTAAGCATGAAAAGTATTGAAAATAAAATATACAGTGGTGGATCTAGACAACTTTGACGGGGGCGGCCAAAATTTTAAAAATGTTTAAAAGTTTAATTTTTTTTCAAATTTGGACAGGGGGCCAAGATTTGTGGTGGCGTTGTCAAAATTAGGCTGGCGACCTTTTTTTGTATAAAATGGTGTTTTTTATGCAAAAGCTGAGTTTTTTTAATAAATATACTGCTCACAACTGGGTGATGGATGACCTTACCCCAAGATCCGCCACTGAATGTATATGTATAATACATATACATTCAGTGGCGGATCTTGTACGTACATTCAGTACTGTATTTTAATAGCGCTCTGAAATTCCCCTGATTGTTATCAGATTTGAAATTTAATGCAACGTCATCCCGGTGTCCACGCAAAGCAAAATTCTGTCTTTCACAAAGTTTAATAGTTTCAGTCATGTCATCGTTTAAATTTAATGAAAGGCCTTCTTCCCAGACATCAGATTGTATAATGTACAAAAAACGTTGAGATTAAATTTTTTAATTTTCCTACCAGAGCTGAATAGTTAAATAGACAAACTTAATTCAAGTCTAGTCGGGTAATGACTGGTACGCATTAACCCTAACCCAAAAAATGTTTTTATTATTCAGCTTATTGCTAATTTTTTTAGTTGAAAATACAAAATTATTTCATATGCATATATTGAAATATCTAGGTTTTACCATTAACGGCCTCAACTGTATTGAGATCATCGAACTGCTTCTGTTTTTTTGCCGGAGTCGGTTGAAAAAAGTTTAAAATACTACTTTTTTGAAAAGACATTTTTTATAAATTTTATTTAAAACGAATTCAAATGCAAACTGATTTTATGAAACACAAAAAATAATATAAGACGCGCCAAATCGTAAATGGAATAAAATGTAAACTGCGAACAAAACATAAAATTATGAAAAGTCAAAATAAGTAAAGACTATAATATTTTTTGATTTACTTTTTGTTGATATTAGTTTTCAATAAAAAAATATACTAAGAAAACATGAATTATTTTTATTTTGTGCCGCAAAACACTATTTAAGTTTAAAATATGAATTATATTCCGAAATAAACTTGTATCAAAGTAATATAATAAATCAGCCTTTTTTTTATTGTTAAAGAGTCGATCTCAAAAATTTTTTTTATCATTTAACTCTGTCTTGAATTGAACTGATGATAACGGGGCCATGGCCCCTAAATCCGCCACTGAAAATAAAGTAATGGTTTAAATGACAGATGAATAAAATAATTTATTATTGGACAAGTTTATGACTTTGTATGATAGTCAAGTGAGCGATAGAAAAAAGGTAAGCTATAGATTGAGTAAATGATAAGTGCTGGTATATTTAAGATGCCTTGTAACGAAGGTCTTATCCTGATATATTGATTGAGTGGTGACTTGATAGTAATGCTTGCATGTAGTAGTTCTGATTGATGGTAGTAGAGGATGGATGACGTGGTTGTTGTTATTTTCCACTCCCTTGAACAGTCTTGAATCGAGTGCGTTGAATATTCGAGTGACGGTATGATATGATGCTGGTAAATAGTTAAGACGAATTAGTTTTTATTTACCAAAAAAATTCATTACTAATGACATTCACACACACACACACACACACACACACACACACACACACACACACACACACATATATATATATATATATATACACACACATATATATACACACACACACAAACTTATAGTATATGCCTTTGTGTTAATTGATCTCTTCGTCTTTTACCTTTGTTAGCAAAACATTGGGAAGTACTGTAGGTCGGCCGTGACTGTCAATCTCGCCACTTAAATTGTTTGTTGCTGTTATCGGGATTATTCCAGTAGACTTTGGAGTCGGCAGGATGTGTATAGGAGATTTGAGACTCGCCAATTTAAGATTTATGCGTTCTTTCAATTTATCGACATATTTTGGAGGATCTTGAAACCTTTTATACTTAGTATCGTCGACCTGATCACCGTACATATCGTTATCATCAGCGAATTCATCTACGAAATCACTTAGAAAGATGTTCCATTCGTCTAATTTGGTTTTCATCGATTGAAAATCACATTTCATCAGCGTCACCACCTCCTCGAAATGAAATAATTTTCCGAGTTTCCACGCTTTCAACAACCTCTTAACAACTTCAATGCTCTCCTTGGTATGCAGCATATCTATGATATTTAACACGATACTATGATATTCAAATTCTGTTCTCACTGTATCTTCTGAAATGTATACGTAGAGAGTTCCGAACTCAGAGGGATCCAAACGCGGTAGTCGATAATAATGCCTGCATACCGGACATTTCAATTTCTTATCGCTTTTTTCGTACAACCTTTTTAGGCAAATAAGATGGTATTGATGAAGACATTGCTTGAGGTACACGACAACATCTTTAGTTCCAGCCAATGCTTCCAAACAGATGGGACATTTGTCATCTCGAAGATTTCCTTTTTTGACCTTCAAAATCACATCATATCTCAACAGGCCAGTCCAACTTGTGAGAGGTTGTGTTGGTCTATTGACGCATAATTTGAAAGTTTTTTCAGATCTCCCTCTTGACATTTTTTATCAAATTTTTATTGAAAGATTAACAACTGGAAACGAGTCGTAAAATCGGAGCTATTTTTATGTGTCAGTCATCATCTTTATATATGATGCCAACCAATAAATATTTACAACGTTTGTCCTTGGGTTTAAAAGCACCATAGACAGCAAATTAAAAATGGCATTGTAATTTACAATTACAACAAAAATGTAAAAAAATATACTTAAGTATAAGTATTAAGTACTGTAGACAACTGTATCAAATTAAATTAAAATGTTATTTATTTATTTGTAATACACTACAGACACTTTATTTTCAAAAAGTTTATTTATTAACAGTCATACACAGTTCAGTTTGTTCCTTTTAGCAACAACAGAGTCACAAATTATTACAAAAAAAATGGGCAAAGACAAAATGTGCCTATGCCTGCAACACAAAATTAACTATAAAATTTTGACAAATAAACAATGTACATGAATATATGTTAATATGTTCTGTTCATACATAAACCTCAAACAAAAATAAAAATATAAACAAAAATATAAGAGAATAATTTCTATTATTAATTCAACTACCTCATTTCTTCATAAAAATTCAAATTTCAGCCAATCATATATATCGTCCTCTCTTAAAGACAATCATGTCAAAACAAACATTTATACCATCATCCAAAATCTATGAACAGCATGCACGAATAGTCATCCTTCAACTCCGCTCTCCAATCGAATTTAAATTTAGCATTCATAAGAAAATTCAAACCACTGCAATTAACAACATCATCATTCAAATTATTCCAAATATTAATAGTCCCATTAACAAAATAATTTTTTCTTAAGTTCGTATGGAATGTCAATGCTGTAAGCCTTATCTTATGTCCTCTTGTTCGTCTGGTGGCTCTCAATATTTCCGGCAAACTTCGTTGGTCCTTTTTATTCGACATGTTAAACATCGTTACCAAATCACCTCTTATTCGTTTGTATTTTAGTGTTGGCAGTTGTAAAAATCTTAATCGGTCCTCATATTTCATTCCCTCAGAGTCTTTGATCATCTTTGTTGCCCTTTTCTGAACCTTTTCACTCGCTTCTGTTTCATGTATTGTCCATGATGACAAATGAATCATCACACAGTCTATTTCTTTCCGGTGTAAGAATTAGTCTAGCTTGACTGAACAAACGTTCAACAGGAGCCGATGATGGCACGGTTGTGTTGTATTTTAGAAACAATCTTGCAACAGTAAGATACCTGAATAACGTTATTTAAAGTTTTTAACTATTGTTATGTAGAATATAATGGAGACATAAGTTTTATTCAATAATTCAAAATTGAAATGTATTTTATATATTCCATAACTAAACTGCTTTTATTTTATAATACATAACATTGAAATTGGTTGATAAGATAACTGCACTTACCTCTTTAGTTGCTCCATACCATGTGAAGAGTCATTGAGATATTGCAGCCCTTCTACTTTATGGTTTAAACCTGATTCAGGATTAGGTTCATGGAAACCATAAAAATCAAAATCTCGACTTGTGCCTGATGTGGACTTTTTATCCTCTCTAAAAGTTGTGAGGCTATTGATTCGATTCACTTCCACCAGAAATTACTCTTCGGCCTGTTGGTGAACTGAAGGTGGCATCCACCTGATCTTAAAAAATAGATGGCTAACTGATGCAACAATTGTTATCAAACTCCAATATATCACCAAAGCACTTCATCATTCCATGTCGAAGAGCCGAAACTAAAGTTGCAGCATGCGATGGTGTGAACGATTCAAGTTTTTTTGGATAACTAGAATAGTTGGTAAGATAGCACCAAAGTATGACTCCACAGAAGCTTCTCTTTGAAGCTTGTGAAATCAGTTTCATTAGTTCTAATCATTCACTGAGAAAATTCAATTCTATATTGCAAAACTTCGACAGCTGCAGATGCTCCATCACAATATTCACTTTATCTTGTAAGCTATGTATAATATTATAGCTGACAAACTCAGAGTTCCAACATATTCCATTCGGTTTGTAAATTTTTCTACCCAAGATCTCATGCACAACGTCAGCAGCTTTTGAACTCTGGTGGGATGCACTGCTGAGACTGACACTCTTACTGGAGACAGATGTATACATTCCTTTATAATTGCCATTATTAATCAGGGCTTTGCTTGTGTATCAGTTGTAGCCAGCAAGTTTAGAATGTGTGAGAAGCAGGAAAGATGAAAAGGAAGATAAATTCCTGAATTGTCATCTGTATTACATTCCATAAATTTCTCACTTATATTAAATTCTTCTTGAAAATCTGCCTGAAAATCATCAAAAATGCCTGGTTCAGCAAATTTCTTAAAAGCTTTCAAGAAATTACTGCCATTGTCTATTACAACATTTACTATCTTGGATGAATCAAGATCAAATTTGCTGTGAATAGCCACCAACGTGGTTGCAATTCTGTCATATGAATGTGTTCTACAGAAACGACGAAAAGCGAGTGCAATGCTACTACACTTAAAATCACCAGGATCGAATCAGTGGCAAGTCACACCAATGTAACTGCGAGTCTGTTGTGTCCAAATGTCAGCAGTTGTACAAACATATTCGTATTCTTTTAATTTTTTTTTAACAATCTGTTTCATGTTGTTGAACCGCATGTTCAGCATACCTTTTAGTGTTTCTGTAAACATCACATGGCCTTTAGGATTCACATCATGCACCAATTGTCTCTAAAGCCTTCTCCTTCTACAACAGCAAGTGGCTTGCATGTCGAGAATAACAAAATCAGCAATTAAGTCATTTAACTACTTTCCATGTGATACAGATGAAAAATAAAATTTGACTGTTTTGTAGGTAGAGTTGAGACTGCCATCTTCATTTGCACCTCGCTTCAGTCTTTTATATTTAATCTGATAAATTTTATCAGTTTATCTTTATTTTCATGTATTATTATGAGATATTTTTCTTTATGAATCTTCTGTATATGAAAATAAAAAAAAAAACAAACAAAATGTATTATAGATTTTACTCAAAAAAAGACATTAATAAAATTATAGCGATTAGTCGATGATATCATTAAAATTAGAATTAGTATTAGAAATTAGATTAACAATTATTAACAATTAACAGTTACTTTACTTTAAAGTCTAATTAAATTAAAAGGGTAAAAATTAGATGGCGCTTCATGCTGTCCACGAATAAGCTGCAACAATAACGTCACCATCATCTTCAACAACTTCGAAAAAATAATTCCTAACTACTAAAGGCAAAATTTTCGAGTTTTCTTCATCACGCGCCATCTTCATCCGAATTCAGAATTTAAACAAAAAACAGAAATTATTGAGCATAGATAAAAAACTGATAGATTAGAAATTAAAACGGTTCCGAGCCGTTCCGAGCGATGTCTAAGATTCTGATCTAACTCAACAAATTATTTTAGTCAGTATTTATAAGAAAAATGTATTATTTATAAGTACTGAAAAAAGTACTTAAGTAGATGTATATAAGTACCATTTTAATACTTAAGTACTCGTCATCACTGATTTGTAATGGGCTGTGTGTGTTTGTGTGTGCGCGCGTGTGTGTGGTGTGTATTAGACGTGTCAGCAGAATATTTTTAGTAGTTTCGACTAACAAGAAATTTAGGCTAAAAAATAATGAAATTCATTAAAAATTTATTTTGTCACAACTGGGCATTTTAAGTCTCAAATTAACGTCCGGCGGCTGGCTAGGCTAGCCAAAAAATTATTCGGCAGCTGATGGCTAACGGTAAAATCTGCCCGGCGACTGACAGGTCTTGTGTGTGTGCGTATGCATGCCGTGAGCTTTAATATATATACTTGAATGGGATAATTCAATTAATTGATGAAGGCACCTGATTTCGTCTACATACAAATTAATATAAGTTGATTTTTTATTGAATTCATTATTAATTTATTATCTCCGTCAACTTTAATCTGCGGATAACTTAAAAATATCGATAGCGAATATTATTATAACGGCCGTTGTTACGAATGTTATTTTCATTATTAACAATCACTTAAAATATCACGTTTTTGTTTAGATGGCGTTTCTAGGAACCAGAGGTGGACATGGGTCCATTTTTACTGACCCAACCTAACCCATCACTTAACTCAACCCATCCCAACCCAACCCGCCTGAAAATGCAACTTTTCAACCCAACCCGACCCGACCCAACCCACGACCCATCTGCACGAGTCGCAATTTTACCAAACAGGCAAATTTTTACAAATGATATTTGAAAAGCAGAACTCAAAAATACAAGATCATATGTGTAATAAAACACACTGGTGAAGTAATCACACTGCAAGTGTAATGAAATAACATGAAAATTAATTAAAAATCAAATGTTACTAATATTTTACTTATTTTTTCTTCATCGATTTATAGTCACTGTTCCACACTGAGTGATCACTAGAGTTTATCAATATCTATTACGGAAGCTCGACAACCCCATCTAATTAATTCAAGTTCTTCAACTTTTCGTGCCGACAGACTGGATCGAGCATCTGTGACTGTGCGACCAACTGAACTGAAATCTCTTTCAGATTGTGTTGAACTGGCAGAGATGCATAACACTCGTCTAGCAACATTTGAAAGAAGTATAAAGTCTTTGCTATTGTCTTGCCAGTAAGCTAGTAGTGATTTGTGGTTGGCAGGAACATTCAGAGCTTTGTATCTAGCCAATTCTTCATGACCTGAAAGTTCAGCAGTTGAAATTTTACTGGTTGATGAGCTACAGCCATCCCGTAGGTCAGCAAAAGGATCAAAGCGTGCTTTCTTGGTTGGCTGAGTGTAATCATCTTCAACATCCTGCTGTGCTGATGTACTGAAATAATGAACAAAAAAAATGAAAATAATTGTGTAGAGAAAATAGTGAAATTAAAATATGTAATATGCAGAATTATTCTTGGTAATGTATGACACAATATTTGTCATCTTAACATATCTACAATATCAACAGAATAATTCAATCTAACCCAGCAACTCTCGACTCCATTCCAGCAGCATGTCTGCGCTGACACATCTTGTTAGCAACAAGATCCAACTCTGTCATCATCCAAACATCCAGATCAGCCATCAAGTTGCGTTTAAATTTTTTCTCTTCGGCTGAAATCTAAAAAGAAAATCAAGTTAGTTTAGTTAATGTCATTGGGAATATAATAATTACTACTATTATACCTGAGGTATGAAGTCAAACTTCTTGAACGATGGATCCAAAAATGATGCCATCCAATGTAAGGCAACAATAGACTGCCAAAACTTTTCATCCATATATTTTATCAGATTTTTTTTAAAAGTTTTCATTGGAAGCGAGTCTCGAACAGCAGGGGCAAACTTCTTTATTAGTAGATAGTATGATGGTCCTATGAGGTTCAAAGTTGGCTCATCAACCTTCTCCAATGTCTTGAATATATCTGAAATTGCTTTTGTTATATCGCAAATTTCTTTGTTAAATGTTCTGTTGACACACGCAATAAGCTCTAGACGATTTTTGGCTGTCAGAACAGTAACTAGTTTTTCATAGCTAGCTTCTATAGCTTCAGAACGACGATGCATTGACACCCAAGGCCTCGTGTCACCTCCATGCTTTAGTGACTTGGGAAGCTGCTCTTGAATGCCAACTGACTGCTTTGCAAAGCGGCATAGTTCACTAACTGCAGTTTCATATGATGCAGCCTCTGGCTCTTGCCGTCTAGTATCATTCCAAGCACACGTTAGGATAGTGTGCAAGCGATGACACATGCAGTCAACTCGAACCCCACACTTCAATGCAGCAACGATATTTGAGCCGTGATCAGTAGTGAATGGGACTTCATCAATTGGTATTTCATATTCACTAAGGATGTTGCTCATGACAGTGTATATATTTTGTGCAGTGTGTGAAGAGGTTCCGAAGTGACGAACGGCAAGTGCTGCATGGTGATTTGTAAAGTCACGATCAATCCAGGAGCAGTGCACATCTAGGTATGACTGTTTACGAAAGTCGTCTGTAAACATATCAATACACAACGACACACTGCCATCATCTATCGGATCTTTAAGCCGTTCAGCAAGTTTAGTTACAACTGAGGCTGCAACTGATGTTGCATCACGACTCACGGTTTTTCTTCCCACAACAACGTCAGAAACATCAAACTTTCCATATTTGGCACCTAACTCAACACAGCTCTGCATCAAATTGAGAAGCCCTTTATTTTCAACAGATTTGAATGAGTAGTAACCATCAACACAGAAAAAGATCTGTCTATGCTTCAACATCATTAATTCTTGAGGAGACAGTTGAATTTTTCGTTTCAAGCATTGTTTGATATGTTCTTGCTGATTTTTAGTGCCAAAGTTTTTACCTGATGAATCTTTAAATTGATATACCTTATTGCACTTAATACAAGCACAATAGTAATTCACAGGAATTTCGCTATCATCATTTTCCTTTTTTTGAAAAACCATGTGAAATTTCTGCCAGATTTCTGATTTTAAATTTGTGGGTGCTTTTAATATAAACCTCCCTGTTTTTTCTGGAAAAAATAAATATTTAAATACTTAAGTATGTTCAATCAATCAATCAATTAAATTTATCTAATGAATGTGATTTCTAAACTTCAACAGCACCCAACTAAAATTTGAAAAATAAACCATTTCTAGGTAGAAAAAAGAAAGAAAATGAAACATGAATATCAAGTAAATAAGTAAAATGAGCAATTAAGAAAAAATTCTGATATCTGTAAAGTGTAACTGTAAAGTGTAAAGACTGAAGAGATTTGAAATTATGAAAAATAACAATTAAATCTTTAAAGTTTAAAGGAATTAAAACATAAAAAATGTAAAAATGTTAATGTGAAATTTATTACATTTTTTACTTTCGCAAACTCAGCAAATTTAAATCACACAAACCTCTCAAATGACGCTGAATTTCTTCTGATTCTGCCATACTTGTAAATAAAACTAATTTTCTCGATCAGAAAGAAGTTAACTTTTGCTCAACTCAATAATCACAAAAAGAAAGTGGAAACGATAGACCAAAGATACAATGATATTACAGCGATATAAAATACACCGATTATTAACTAGTTAAAATGTTCGTTTAAGAATAAAAAAAATACAGAAATAAATTATTTATAATAAAATTTGAAAATTTCAACCCAACCCAACCCACGCAACTTTAAAAAATTTGGACCCAACCCAACCCAACCCAACCCATGGGTTAACCCAACCCATGTCCACCTCTGCTAGGAACACAAAAGTGACATTTTATCTTTTTGTGAAGCCTTTTCACCTAATAAATATTGTTTTTGAAAGTAAAAGCTTTAAATCAAAATTGCCATACAACAAATATTGTCAGCAATTATTTGTATTCAATTTAAAATATATTCTGTTAAGTAATGCAATTCGTAAAATAGCAGTATGAGTTCACGAATTAAGAAAAGTAATTCAAATTTAATATTTATCTTAATATTTTTATAGCAATTTTATCTAATAAACTTACAAATAAAAAAGATGAATGTTGCAGAGTGAAGTTTCATAAAATAACTTATTGCCTCACATGTACATTACGTATGCACGCGCAAGCATCGCATCGTACGCGAATGGTGTATGACAGTTTATAAGTTCCGGACGGACAGTATTCGAACCATCTTGCCATCGCGTAACTGCTACAGACATGACACTTCTGCCGACTAAGCTAACTCGCGGACAGTGATATAAAAAAATTGATGCTAATGAGTACATGCATTTACATGTGGAGGGAGAATGATATGCCTGTAGCTATAAGCAAATTTTTAATATGACGGTTGCAAGGGCGGGATACTATTATAACTAAATCGTACGTTACTATCGATGAAATATTCATTCTTCCAATTCTTCATTTTCATATTCATTCATTCATTCATTCAACCATCCATCCACTCATACCTCATACAAAAAATTTGCAAGGTTTGCTGAAGCACAAACAAACATAAATCATAAACATCTACAAACAATTCCGAGATGTTAATAAGGAGGGCAAAACGTAATAGTTGCTTTGGTATCATTCAAAAATGAAAAATTACGGAACATTATGAACGGGGCAGTTTAAACGCACGGCTTGATTTTATATATTGCAAATAATGGTTAAATAATGATTGATATTGTAAATAAGTTTTATGAAAAGTCAAATAATTTACTCAAAAAATTCAGATGAAAATTTTTGTCGGAATGGTCCCACCAACAGTAAATGTCTGATGTCTACTCCTTCAATTGAATGGTCTTTCTTTTTCTAAACTTGAGTTCATTTTTTTATAATAAACAAACATCGCAAAGATTTGTTGTTTTCGTTATTTAGTTTGTTATAATTTAATTACTAATTAAAATTTAATTTATTATAATTCAATTTATTATAATTTAAATTATTTGAAATGTCTTTATTTTTATTTGTTATTTTGTTCTCTATTGCTACGCTATTCATTTCCAAGTTTTCGACCAACATTATTTTACTTGTGAGTTTAAAAAAGTTTATAATATAAAGTTTTTATATCATATTTATTTATTTTTTAAAATTTTAATTTGTTATTGCAAAATTACCAGACATTGTTCAATTAAATTTTTAATTAAAATTGAAAGATAGTTTGAATTTAAAACTTTAATAACTTGTAAATTTATCAAATGCAACTAGTAATTTTTTTATTAAATATATTTATAAAATAAATTAATAATTAATTGAAATTAAAAATATATGATATAAATAATGTATAATCAAATCAAAAAATGTAATATAAATATCTAATTCTAATAAGTATTATTAATACTCTGGTATCTAATTCTAATCTAATGTCAATAGATCTTGAAAATGTTCTACAAAGAATCAGTCGAGGAGAAAAATAGAAAAACTGAAATTGCTGAATTGAAAAAAGAGTTGAAATCCATCCCAATGGTCGATGAGTTTCCCAAATATGCCAGACTGGAGAGGCAGATTAAAAAATTATCTACTGAATCCAATAAAATATGTTAATTTCACTTTTAAATTACCTACATTTTTAATTAATTTTTATTTACAATTCTTAAACTTTTGCTAGTTTTTGCCATATTTTTAGATTATAATATTATTTTTTTATTCAATTAGTGAAATTTGTTAGTAAAGATTGTTTTCTAGAGGTATTTTTTAATATATTAATTTTCATTTTATATTAAATATTTTTTTAGGTTAAAATTATTTTATATTTGCAGCTCAAGCTAGATCACAAAGTATTGTTATAAGAAAATGTGTCCTCATCTTCATTGTTAATTTCATTCAGGTTCTAGTTTTTTTTATTTGGTTGTATGTAGTCGATTATTTAAAAATATTCTAATGACTCACTACCATTTTCACAATATTTTTCACATTTTTTCAATTTTGGTATAAACAACAGGACGAAAAGTGAGAAAATTGAAATAAATTTACTGATTTTTCTTTGCAGTTGTTGATTTCTGGTATTGTTATATGGATGTATAAGTCAGAGCCTGTTGTTGAGATTGAATCAAAGTGGGTTTTTCCCATAAGCTCTCTACTCTCCATGCCTTCTGGGTCTTCAGGTAGCAATCTCAAACTTATATAAAATTTGTGATATCATTATGTTATTTATTAATTTTTATATTTATATTTTGTCATTCTTTGTCGATTTTTTTCAATTTTGTTAAATAAATGATTAAAAAACAACTTGACAATTAACTTCAATTCTAGGAGTGATCAGTGCATTTGTTTGGATCATCATCTGCAGATGTGCCATTTCGCAAATTCACTCCATATTTTTTAATGATTTCGGTTCAAAACAGTCCTTGTAATGAATTATTTGGATTGTTCCATTTTTTTAGTGAATTTTTTTCCTTTTTTCTTTTTTTTAAATAAATATTTCTATGACTAGTTCTATTTCGTATAATTTATCATTTCGTTTTTCATCAGACACTTTGGTAATGAAAACAGCTACTGTTCAATTTTCACTTATTTGTTTCAGTTGATTATGTTTCGAAAGATCGAGAGTGAACGGACATTAATTTTGTTCGAGTGTTTCTTTCAAAATCAAAATTGAATGTTGCGCCTGCGGTAGTTGTGTTATGGTCAACCAATGGACATTTAAAGGCTTCTCTCGTCAAACCCGTCAAACCGCCAAGTACCGATTAGAATAGATAAACTCACCAAGAGTTTGTTGGTCGCCATAGTGAAAATTTAGAAAAAAAGAAGTACACTAAAGAGATAGAAAATATATGAGGGAGAAATGATTTACAGCTTATGTTATTATGTGTCCACTATGAATTCAACAACAAAATTCATTACCTGGTATTTTAAACCGGCCTTCAATCGACACCGTTAAATAACAAAATTATTTGAAAGACATGACGTCACCTTTGTGTATGTTATTGTTTAAGAAAGCCGTTCTTTGAAAATTATTCTCGTATGTGCCTGCTTAATATTTTGGGACAATAAGGCATTTAAAATTTGCTGTCTTGCTTTTATTGGCGAAGTTTATTTTATCATTCGTCGCGAAAGTGTTCTTTCTCTGTAAAGTTTTAAAAAACTGGTGAACTGAGAAGAAGCATTGAAGATGGAAGCAAGCGAATCCAACACCAACATGTCCGCCAACCCAGTAACTGATGACAAATTTGTTGATGCCCAGCTCCACAATCTCTCACTGGATGAAAGCCAAACCGACTTGAAACAACTGTCCAATATTTCCGCCAGTAACAAAAAATACGACATACTCGAGAGAATTAAGATTTTGCGCTTGTGTGGAATCGATGTAACTCCAGATAAGGATGGAGGAATTTTGAAAATGATAAGCGTACTTGGTCTGGGATCAAATAAACCGCTTCCTGGTGATGAAGTTGTCATGGAGTATAGAAGGTGGCTGGTCGATGGGTCGGTCATTGATGAAGGATACAAGTCGTTTGAATTTCAATTTGGAGAGAGTGAGTAACTTTTGAGACTGTTTAGACATTTCTGTTCTATAACTCATGTTCGAAAATAGTTTTACAAATTTGGAGTTTACATACAAATTCGAATATTATCGGAAAATATTGACATAATAATAACATAATGCAAATTCGAATATTATCTGAAAATATTAACATAATAATAACATAATGCGTTTGTCAGAGATTGATTTTTGAGAATGAAAAAAAAATGAATCAATAAATTTGCACTACTGCAGGCAAAACCATTGCTCTCTGTGAACACGGCATTGGGACGATGTTGGAAGGTGAGGTAGCTTTGTTCCTCTGCAGACCATGTTACGGCCTTACCTCAGAGGAACTATTAAATGGGGCACATCAGGAAGTGGATATTGTTTTTGAGATTAAGCTGATTTCTTGGCATGGTTGGTTTACAGAGAATAATTTTTATAAATTCTACGTATTATTTTCTAATTAATAACCTGTTTCCGTATGACCTAAACAATCACTTGCCCACAAGTTATTTTAAGAGAACTGTCTAAAATTTAATTTCGAAAGGCATTGGAACGTAGTTTAAACTTTTGAAGATTCTGTAAATAACTTTTGAAAAATTAAAAAAAAGAACTTTGGTGATAAATAACATTGATAAGAAAAGTGGAATGGAACACTAGATGAAATAATGAACAAACGTTGACTGCTAAGGTGTGGATGTATCGAGTGATGGGGACCTGTGCGTATGCAAAAGCGCGATGGAGTCAGGGGAGTCGTACGGAATACCTAACGATGGCGCCAAATGTACCGGTAAAATAGCGAATGAATTCTCAGTTATCTTTTATTGTTAACTTTATTTCTTAATCAGTTTACAATCTGGTGATGTTTTTGTTGATGATGGGATGATATCATATAATTGATAGATAGGTTGATGATGGAATGATATCATATAATTGATAGATAAATGATATCATGATGATACTAATCAACCATTGGAAAATATTCAAAATACATTTGATAGATGCTTCTTTCTGACCGATTTCGCGGGTTTAAAACTCACCGTGTGTAAATCAAAAATTGAAAATCAATGTAAAAAAAATTGTAAATCAGGCGTGAAATTTAACAAATTAATAACAACTACGAACCAAACCATGAAACTCAGTTGAGTTGATCGGCCGCTACAAAGGTAGAATATTCGATGAGAGGGTTGTGACTTTCATTCACGGAGAGGGCATGGAGGAAGGGGTGGTTGAAGGGGTGGAGCAGGCTCTTTTGAGGTTTTCTCGGGGCGAAAAAGCGAGGTTGAAGTTGAAAAGTCGTGTTGGGTTTGGAGAGCATGGATGTGAGAAGTTTGCTATTCCTCCTAACGCAGATCTGGAATATGATGTCCGACTGCTCGAATGTTCCAGAGTATGAAATTTTACTTTTCCAATTGTGTACAGTTCTTTGTTCGAATAATTTTAACGTAAATTTTCATTTTTTTTAAGGAAAGCTTAATGATGTTATTTTTACGGAAAAGTTATTAAACAGAAATTTAAGTTAACAATGCAATTTAAGTTAACAATGCAGTGGTATCTATTTGATTAGCATAATTTCGTATTTTTAATGATTTATAATTTTTTCAAAGGCGAAAGATTTCTGGGACATGACATTGGAAGAAAAATTGGAGCAGTCAAAGCAAGACAAACTCAAAGGATTGCATTATTTTCAAGTAGTTAGACAATCTTTTACTGTGATGTACACAAATTCGAATAGTAGCATGAATTGGATAGTGTATATAAAAAATATAAAAAAAATTTTTTCTGGTGTGAGTGCATTTATGGGTGTGCGTTTCTGTGTTTGTGTTAGCATGTGTGTGTGTGTGTATGTGTGCGGGTGTATGTGTGTGTATGTGTGTGCGTTTGAGCTTGATTAGCATTATTATTTAAACATTCGGTATTTAGAAAAAAAATTATTTTTTAGAAATTATTTTTAATCATCCCTTCGTTAATAATAACTTTCCTTTCTCTTGCGTGAGATGGGCGTCCTTATAGCGCTGGGTCACATATTGATCGTGATGATTGGTGTTGTTATTCTTGATGCTTTCAAAAACAACAACCATAATGAAATTAATATTTTTGTATAATTATTTTCATAATTATTATTGTTTTTGTTACTGTTATTTATGATTATCATTATCGTTATTAAGTCAAAATTTCCTCGCATTAAAACTAAATAATTTTTCCAACACTTCTCCTCGTCACACAACAAATCCGATATAATTCAAACGTTACACAGCAAAGAAAGTTCAAGCTGGCCATAAAATTTTTCCAAAAAATCATCGACTACCTACAATTCGAAGACCTGAACGCTGGAATGGACCAGGAAGTAAGAAGGGACCTCCTCCTCTCCTCATACCTCAACCTTGCCATCTGCCATCTTTCTGAGGATCAGCCCTTTCCAGCCGCCCACGCGTGCACCAGGGCCATTGAAATTGACCCCTGCAGTGAAAAGGCATATTTCAGAAGAGGAATTGTTTGTTTAAATATGTTCATAATACATTTCCATTCATTTTTCATTTCTGATTTTGAGTCTTGTTGTAGAAATTATTTTCTCATTTACTGGCTGGGTGAGTGATCTGTCTAGGCACTTTGGTGAGTATTATAAATGAAAAGTGGTATTTAAAATTAAAAATGAAATAATTGAAAAAAAGTTTGATATGTTTTTTTTAGGCCAACACAGGTATGAAAAATTTCAAAGAGGCCCTGAATGATTTTCAGAAAGTCACTCTACTCAACCCGAAGAACAAGGGTGCCGTAAAGAAACTGAAACTGGCGGAGACCTCCATGAAAAACATGCAGGCTGTGGAAAGGGAACGGATGAAAAAATTATTCAAAAGATGTTGATTTTTTTCATTTTTTATTTTATTTGACTTTTTTTCTTCTTCTTACACAGCCCAAAAAAATCACTTTCTTCCTTCAAATATTTTTAATATTTCAAAATAAACACTATTATCAAGTAAAGACGTTGATTAATTCCTACCAAGCATTACATAACAAATTTTGCCAGTGTTACCAATACCGATATCAAATTACTAAGCATATTAAACCGTATTAAAAATAATTATTTCAAATAATAATAACGGAATTAAAGATAAATTAAAAACCAGAGCGATAATATTAATGAGATCAAACATTGACTTCTACAGTATTAATCACAGGAAATTCAATCTCAGATGTTTTAGAATTTTTTTTTGCTGACTGTGATTTTATACCTATCATAAAAAAGAAACACAAATAGCAAAAATCATTTCATTATTATTATTTTTATTATTGTTATGGTTATTACTATTATTAGTTTTTTTAGTTTCATACCAATTGCGCCGCAAACAAGCCTATACTAACAAACACGTACAAATTTATACATACACACATAATCACGTGCGTGAAGTACACACGCACAGACACACACACACAGCAAATTCACAGACAGACACACACAAACACACATACATATATACACACACGCACGCACGCACACTTTTCAAACGTACACACGATCATGTATATTTTATATCTTCATCTTTAAAACAAATTCAGAAAAACTAAAAAACCTGTTTCATTGATTGATAGGAAAGTTTGAGTAATCAGATTAAAAATCAAGAAGAAAAAGAAGGAGAAAGAAAAAAAAATAAATTAGAGAGAGAGAGAGAGATTTAAAAAAGAAAGAAAGAAAAGAGAGAAATAGAGAGAGAGAGAGGGGGGGAGAAGAGGAAAGTGAAAAAATTCTTGTAATATATACGGCAAAGCTGCGCTTTCTATTGCATTAATGAAATTATTGCGCTGAATACATATGCATGGAAATTTATTGGGTCTCGCTTGATGGATGAACAGATAAATGGATGAACAGATAAATGGATGAACAGATGAATGGATGAATGAATAAATGAATTAAAGGAAAAATATATATGTTGCTAATACACAATATATGTTGCTAATAATGTATATCATAGTAACAAACTTTAAATGTGATTTTGAAAGAACAAAAATATTAACAATACATAAATTGTCATAATCCTAATTAAGTGTATGATTTGAACACAGAAAGATATGATTAGCAATTAACTGGTTGGTTTTCCTGTTACTCACTACAAAAAAACGCATTCATACACAAATACAAACAGAAACACACGCACACGTACAAACACATACATGCACGCTTTATAACTGAAAAAACAAAAGTGGAATCATTTAAAAAAACATACAAATAAATATAAACAAACAAACATACATACAAACAAACACAAATACCCACACAAACATAAACACACACGTAAACAAAAACCTACATGCAAGTGCCATGCATCTATCTATCTTTGAAGCAAATATGTGGAGGGATGAATTGTGACGTAGCTAACAGATTGCTTTCCAGTTTGCTTACACGCAACTTAACAAATTATCTAGCGCAAACTCTCATTTTCATCTTCATCATCTTCATACTCCTCATCATCATCCTAACCATCATTTTCTTTATCGTCATCTTCTTCCTCATCCACATACCATGACAATTTAACATGACAATTAAACAACTATCTTTCTATCTACTACACCTCATGTGAAACTGGTCGAGTCTACGAATGTGACAATGGTAGATGGATGGATGGATGCTCCGTGCTCTTTCCAAAGACATCCGGTCAGCATACCAAAAGCAGCCTTGCTGTAATATCGTCATTGATAGTAGCGCTGTTGGAGATATATCCGCCTAGATAACAAAATCTATCAACAGAATCGAGAGGCGAGTCGTCCGCCATCACATGGGCCATTAGGAGATTGGTCTGCAAGACCTCAGTTTACTTCAGACTGACTGTAAGTCCAAATCTCTTAGCTGTTATATGGAAGCGGTTGAACAGCGTTTGTGTGTGTGCAACCAGTGCACAATCATCAGCAAATAACTGGTCCCGGACAACAGAGATCTTGTCTTGGACTTGGCTTGCAACCGTCTGATATTATAGACACCTCAATTAGTATCCCCTCACTACCGTGACGAAAAGAAACTAGAAGCTACAACGAAAAGTAGATGGGAATTGAATATAAGTAAAAGAAGAGTTGACAACAGTAAAAAATGACGTTGTTTATATTGAAAAAATGGTAAAAAAAAGTTATTTAGGAAAAACTTTATACAGATTTTTTTTAAACCAGTCATAAATTATTTTTGGAATAAATAAAAAATATGTTTAAGAGCCATTTTTGAAAATTCAAACAAAAAATATATATAATATATACAATATATAAAAATTTTTATTTTAATATTTAAATTAAAAAATTATTATCATTATCACTGCTGTTGTCATTATTATTATTATTATAATATTATTATTATTATACATATATACAATATTTTTGTTTTTCGTTAATTAAACAAAACATACAAATAAACGAACGAACGGAGAAAAATTTGAACAAACAACTAAGCTTATGTAAACTGTTAGCATTACACAAACATCTTCACACATACTTAAAACGTGTATAAACATGTTTACACACACACATACAAATGCATACACGCACACGTAAAAATATTTACTCAACAATAAAAATACAAACATGAGCACACACACATATAAACATATTCATACAAACATAAACACATACTTACATAATAACTTACATACACGTGCCGTACATACTTGAACATAGACATGCAAGTACATACATACAAACAAATAAATGTTAACACATATAAAAACTTGCACATGTACCTACACATACGCACATACATATACACATATAGACATACATACACGTAAAAATGTACATTACAAACATACAAACAAACAAACATGTACACACAAATATAAACGTGTACACACACATACAAACATGCAGAGAACGATACAAAAGAAGACAAAATATAATACTGACGCTCCCATACAAAAATCAATATACGTGTGTAGATGGAAGGAAAAAAAACAAACATACACAACTCTATGGCTGGATGGGTAGATGGATTGAAAAATGAATGAATGAACGAATGGATGGCTGGATTAATGAATGAGGAAAAGAACGAATGAATAACATAGAATAACATAACAGGGTTTGAAGTGGTCAGATCAGTAGACAAGGAAAAGTCTGTGTGAGATGAGAACCACTGCCACTCAACTGTCCTGGCATCCCAGCTTTCTCCGAGTTTGAGACTGAATTAGTTGGTTGGTTGCAAAGAGATGGTCTCATCACTCAGCCCATTCCAGGCGTTGGTCGCTCAACAGCTGATTGCAGATTGAAATTTAGATGGAAGAAAAAAATCAACAAACGAACGAACGAATAATTTTGCACTTCCAGATTCTCAATAGGATATTTAGCGAGTTGTTTGCAATTTGTTGGTGATCTTACGATTTTAAGTTAGGTGTATATTAACGTAATTATTGATTGGAATAGATGAACGAATGAATGCATGAATGACCGAACTAAAACAAGTGAATGAATGAGCAGACCAACGAATGAATTAATGAATAAATGAATGAATAGATGGATGGATGAATGAATGAATAAAGACATGAATGAATGAATTATATAATTAATGAATTAATGAACGAAAGACGAAAGAATAAAAATTGAACGTACGGGCGGTGAACGAATAGAAAAGAATGTTCAATAAAATGAATGAAAGAAAGACTGAACGAATTAATGGATGAATGATGGATGGATGGATGGATGGATAGAAGTTATATTGACAAATGAATAAATGAACGAATCAATAATTTGACAGAATGGAAAGATGATTAAATGGATAAATGAATGAAGAAACGAACGAACGAGCCAATAGACATATGACCAAATAATGAATGAATGAATAAACTGGATGATTGATTGAACGAATAAAAGAACAAATATGAGTATTAATCCTTATAGATAGATGAAAAAATGAACAGAATAGATGGATGGATGTATGGATGGATGGATGTATGGATGTATGGATGTATGGATGGATGGATGTATGGATGGATGGATGGATGGATGGATGGATGGATGGATGGATGGATGGATGGATGGATGGATGGACGGACGGATGGATGGATGGATGGATGGATGGATGGATGAATGGATGGATAGATGGATATTTGGATGGATATTTGGATGGATATTTGGATGGATGGATGGACAGACGGATGAATAGAAAGATGGTTCGAGGAATGAAATAAAGGAATGATGTGTTGCAAATTTAATAAGCACCTTTCCTAGATGACCAACTCATCGCTTTATTGCAACTGTCGCGTTGTGGCGTTGTGTGTGTGTTTGTTTGTGTGTGCTTGTTTGTGTGTTTGTTTGTGTGTGTGTGTGCGCATGCGCGCGTGTGTGTGATGTGTGTGATGTGTGTGTGATTCATGTTCATGATGTATGTAAATCTCGTATCGTTATGGAATCTTGATTGAGTATGATGCGAGTAACGAGACACAGATGCCCAAAATTCATTTGAAATTTATTTGTTTGAATAAACACAAGGTAAGTTGTCAAAAATCAAAATTATAAAAGATAAAAAAAAATTTATTAAATGTATTTTCAAATAAAATGAAGGTAATTATTTTTATTGAATTTTTAGAGAGTTTTTTAACAATTCAAATTATTGATTTCGGTACAAAGTTGAATTATTAAAAAATTTTTTTTTTTGTGTATACACAAAAACACACAAACACTCACACGCACGCACGTACACACACACACACACAAAAAAAAGGCACACACACACACAAACAAACGATCGACTCGGCGTTTTCTCAAAGCATTTATCATAATTATTAAGAATTAGAAACGTAGGAGAATGTATGTTGGATCGTTCCTATTTGTGTTGTGTAGTTGTTAAAAAGTGCTACTACAAGCACAAAAATACTAAAAAATACTATGGCATTATT